AAACATTAACCAGAAAAAAAAGTAAATGTAGTAACTATTCAACATAATTTGGTCTAAGAGTCTTTGTTGTGTTTTTTTAAAATTTCACTTAACTACGGTTGTTATATTGAATCAACATGTTAGAAAACCAAACAATTAAATACAAATGTCATTTCAAGTATATGAATAAATAATCTAGACATTGTACTTTCAATGATATTTATTAATAATAACAAAGCGGTGTACTTTCTGGCTAACAACACTTTACTAGAAATATGTGTATATATGTAAAAGTGTTTCTAAGTATACCACTCAATTATTTTTTTTGACTTTTAAATGTACCTACTCATTTCAAATAATTTACGACTAAATAAGATTTTTGTCAGTAAGTATTATCATCTACGATTTGTAGCTTAGTTCATAAGACAAGTGAATATAAACTGTAATGAAATTAAAATACTATGTTATATAGATGTTTTTCTTTGAGTTCTAGTAAGTAGACATGACCAGTAGATTCAAAGTGTGTCTATTATGAGACAGTTACATATTGAAGACAATGGTGGATGGTCGCGCAATATCGTGGATTAGTTGAAGTTAAACATGAACATCGTTGAATGACAGACGGTTCAGTGGTCTAGAGATTAAGCGTTCACGCACGAGATCTAAGGTCCAGGGTTCGAATTCCTCATGCAGGATCGTGAGTGCGCACTGCTTGGGAGTTCCATACAAGAACAAAACGGCCGTTCAGTGTTTTCAGGTTTTTCATGGTGGTCTAGCTTAAATCGACTCATGGATTCAACCATTAAATCACTACGATTTTCCAAAACCCTCATCTTGATCATAACTTTTATTCATCTCTTACATTTTACTAGTTTTCAAAGGTTTATTAAAACTACAAACAATAAAAACAATTCAAACATTTTTGAAACTTTGAAACCAGACCTCCTTTTTCAGTGTTGTGTGATTTGAGCAAAGATGGATAGTGACTAGCAGTGGGATCCATGACGCGCGTTTCGTTCTATTTGGGTCCCGGAGTGAACATCAACCCTGGGATGCAGGTAAATCCAGCTGACCAGTCCCACATAGGACGAAACGGGCGTCCTGGATTCCACTGCTAGCCACTATCCATCTTTGTTTAAAAAGCTTGTGGCTTAAGGCTATATCGAGGCAATACGCACAGGATTCACATATGTCAACATGAGATTGATCAATGTAGTCCTGAATTGAACAAGATTTCATTTTCAAATTTTACAATTCTATTTTAAAGTCTCATATTCAATTCAGGAGTCTGTGATAAATCTCAAGGAACAACCGATGAAAGTTCATTCTACAATTATCAAGTATTTGGATCGCATAAGCTGAATAATTTGAATCTTTATTTCCTTTCATCAAATATATATAGTACTTTTATTGTTCTTACATAAGAGAACTCTGGCAAATAAAATTCAGAAATGAAAGTTGAATAGCTTATCTATGGACTATATAAGGATGAGAACTAATTTGTTTTCAAACATGCATTTGTAGGATGTGTTTTATAATAGCTTGAAATAAGCGTTCGCGCGCGAGACTGAAGGCTTTGGGTTCGAATCCTTTAAGCGGGATCGTGGATGCGCACTACTGAGTAGTCCCACGATGGGACAAAACTGCCGTCCAGTGCTTCCAGGTTTCCAAAGATGGTCTAACATCAATCGGTTCAAGATCTCAATCAAAAGCTTGAAATAAACTAGACACTTTTCACTGTTCTTAACATTGTGGTTTCTAACTATGAATACATTGCGTCCATAAATATATTATACTTGAAAATAAATAAGTTAATTAGGAAATATCGAGCATGTAATGCTTATATCTTTCCAATACAAGCGTTCAGTCATAAGTAGATGATAGAAATAACTATAAAGTATATTCAATGTGTACGAGTTAATGAGTCAAATATAAACGTTTAAAATTGCCTTATTGTTTTGTATTCTTTTTATTAGTAAGCTGATGGCTATCCTTAACATTTAGAATTACAATTATCTATTTACCTTCAGAAAATAAGTATTTAGCATCGGTAAACAGGGAATTAAATCTTTTCTTCATAAAACCAAGGGTACCCAGAAATAAAAGTATAAAACTAACTTATTCAGATTTACTGACCTAATCAATCGTGAGTTAGAAGTTAAAAACATAAATAGAGGCATTTTAATTGGCAGCAGAACTTAGAGTTAACCAGATTGCATAAAATAATTAATGTACAAAAGCCTATTTACAACAAAGCAAATAAAATATATTCTTTTCAATAGATTCTCATCATGTTCTACAATCATAATTTTTATTCAATTTGAGCGCATCTATTGATGTTAGTAGTAAGAAACAACTCGATATCAGTCTATCAAGAGCATATTAGTTCTAGTTTAGAATACAGTATGATAAAAGTGATTAAATTCACAGTCCTTGAATTGATGTAAGGAATAATTATCTAGACCAAACAATGAAACTTTAAGTTTAAAGACCACATGTGGCAGTTTTTTTACTTTGAATAACCTCAAATTTACTAACTCTATATGTATCACAGTTTTAGAGTGTACAAATATAAATGACTTAAATATTTTCCTCATTTCTGTACTTTAATCATTCGAAATTATCTCATTCAACTATTTTTATAATTACCTACTAAGTCAAATTGTGAGCGAAGTATTTAGCATTCATGTTATTTCACTGTTTCTTAACTATTTCATATGAACCTATGCATAACGTAATATTAGGTATAATATTACCTTTTTACATTTAAATTACGTTGTTGAAATAATTTACTATCGGATGATTGAGTAGTTACTCCATGTATGCACAATGTAATTTTTTATTTCAATACTTACAAATTTCAGCGGTTGAGATCATGAGTCAATTGAAGCTAGACCACCATGGAAAACCTGGAAGCACTGAACGACCGTTTCGTCCTATTATGGGACTCCTCAGCAGTGCGCAACCACGACGAATGGTTTTCAATTAATACCCCCTATCATAAATGAGGAATCTTTCACTACTTTTGATCACTAATTTGAACTCATAACCTAAGCTAAATTAGGCTCTTCTCTGATATAACTAAGTTACATAATTTGTTTATTGTTTTGAGATGAAAAACTCTACAAACCGAAGAGTTCTATTTTCCAACATATTTTGTTTTTATATATGTCTTAATGTTATTCAGATTGTTTTCTGTTGAAGTAGCAGAGAAACATAAGAATATATGTCAGTTCATATAGGCCATGAACACTTCCAATATTTTGCTACTATTGTTAAAAAAATATTTATAATCAGTTGGATTAACGAATATTTGAATTATTTTATTTGTTTGATCAGTACAATGTTTGCTAACACATACTTTGTACGATTGCAGTGAGCGAGAACTCAGGTGTAGAATAACCAGTTTACTACTTAATACAAAATTGCAGAATGTCGTGGTAAAGTATGAGAACCATATATTAAATCCTTCATTTACAAATCTTTTATTAATTGTCCATTACATTATGTATAATTTTTATACATCACAATTCCTTTCTGTTTTCTTCAATTAGACCTTTTATTCCTTCTGCTGCTAGATATCCGACTTCTGACTGATGTCTTATACTACTTATAAGTAGCGTACACCACATGATTACCCTGAAATAAATTTTAACAGCGAATCAACCAGGTTAATTTTCAATATGCTCGTATATACTTAAATTATAAAATTCTTAGTTTGATAACAAAATTTTGATTTACTTCGTTACATAAGATACTCTAAAACATCTTAATCATTATGATATAATGTGATGAAACAACCTATAAACTACATCAATAAAGCGTAATCCACGGTGATATTTCCCCAATTAATTAAAATTTCAAATGTTTTTTTAATGATACAGATAATAAATTTTACCATTTTTGGTTAAATAATTCGTGGATACACACCGCTGAGGAGTCCCATACTCGGACGAAACGGCCGTCCAGTGCTTCCAAGTTTTCCATGGTAGTCTAGCTTCAATCAACTCATGATTTCAATCAGTGACATTTCTAAAATCTCCACAAAACTCCTTCTAATAATTCCTTATACATTTATTTATCACATTTCGAAGTAATTTAATCTAGGTAAACTAAACTGATCCAAATAAATCTTTCAGTTATATAACTACGACCGTACGAAATCAAACCATAACAGTTAAATACATGTATCAATATAATACAATGAGGAAAAAAATATAACATTACAGTTACATAATATGTAAAAGTAAAGTTTTTTAAAAAGTAGATAACTGACAAATGCGAACGTCTTTTTTGCCTCACATAAAGACATTTAACATAATAAAACGTGAAGTAACACCTGATATCTTAATAATACGTAGTGATAATAATAATGATTATTATTACCATTGGAAATGATAATCATATCATTAAATAAAACTGTAAGTATTACATTCATAGCATGAACAATAATGACATACATTAATAAGAAAACCAAATTTACTGAAGCTTACATTTAGATTAGTTCAAGTTTGTTCTTTATTGTTTGTCTTTGAAGAAAAATAGATGAGGAAAATTGAGTTTCTAAGAATAAACGAACACATTTTACAATGAACAAATAAATGATTGCGTTACATTTGTCATTTTTATTAATAAACAATTGATTCGGTATAGTACCCTGAGACAAAACATTATATATATATATATATATATATATATATATATATATATATATATATATATATATATATATATATATATATATATTAGATGAATAAATATTTAATAAAGTTGTGGTGTATGTTACTTATATTGATATAAGTAGTATATGACGTTAGTCAGGAATGGAATGTCCGGCAGCAAAGAGACAAAAGGATCAAACAGTAAAGAATGAAAACAGAACGCAATTTGTATAAAAATGCAATAACAATGAAGTCTAAGTCATTTTAAGACAGGTGATACAGATAATTAAAATAACCCATAGTGTCACTGTATAAGAAAAAGAGAAATCAGCGAAGAATATTTTCTTTTCGATGAAATCATTTACTTAAGCTGTACATTCGTATATATGGAAAATGTATGTCTATAGAACGATAGGAAGGACTGTATCACAAAAAAAATGGATTCGATAATAAATAACATTTTGCAAATTAAGCATTTACCATATGATTGTTAGATTTTATTAACAAGTTTTATAATTTTCTGTCAAAAAACATTCGATTGTCCCCACTGATGTGTCCTTGTTCATTACAAAGTTATTATTTGTATCTATGGTACAATTATCATTGATGGGGGGAGAATAAACATTGAAATTAAATAATTAATTATTATTATTTTCTCTTTTATTTTTAAAATAAAATTATTAAGCGGATACACATAAAACATACGAGTATCATAGAATACAAAATGCAAATGCTTTTATATCATGTTTTAATCCAGTATGGACATTCATCAATTATGTACAAGAAAGATTTAAATTCAGAAAAGAGAAAAAGAAATCAAGGAAATGCAAATATGAACATTGAATTGTAGTTTAATGTTTATGATGTTAAAAATGTGGATAGTTCTGGTTTTTTACATTTTCTTAAATCAACATTGTAATTATAACCAAGAGTATTATTCGAACTAATAAGATTATCAGTAATCTCTAAGGTTTTTCTATCATTATTCATGTTAGATGATGAATAATTTCTAAAAGAAGTTTTTATTTTATTCGAATTTAGATGTAATCTATTGATTTGATCTTCTTCAAATGATAAATTAGTAGTGATCGGTTGTTTAGGTGAAGTCAATAATTCTATATCATTATTTTTATGAATTGACTCTATGATTATTTGATGATCACAAGGATCTATTGTGTTATTGAATTGAGATAAAGTCATTTCATGATTATCTATAATAGGTATACTTGAATTGGTTACAAATTTAAGATGAGACGTTGAAATGTCATGTAGTTGTTTAGATTGATTAATTGGAAAGTTATTTTGATTATTAGTAAAATTATGTATTTGTTTAAATGATTCATCGGTAGTAGTTTCGTTATTTGTAATTGATAGTTTGTTGATACGAGAATGTGACAATTTCAAACACTTTTTTCTGATAATAAAAAGTGCTACACCTATGATTAAACCAATGATTATACCGACAAATCCGGAAAACAACAATTTCCAGATATTTTGAATTGGATATAATAATCCAGTAGAAAATTTTCCTCTGGCTACTAGATCAAGCGGAACTTTAAGTAGATCTAATTTTCTCAGGCGATCTGAATCTGAATTTAGAAAAAAAAGGAAAAATAGTCAAAACAGTAATAAATTGGAGAAATTTCAAAACTCTTTTCAATTTGTTATATTTTAGCCTTCATTAGATGGTTATGCAAATATGTTTAAATTAATGTATCATTCATTTTATGCTCCTTTCAAGATAATCGAATAATATTTGCAGAATCATGCTAAAGCAATTTGGCAGTATTAACTTCATCGTTTCAACTAAATGTAGGCCCACGGATATATAATAAAATCTTTTGTGACACGTATGGTAATCTAAATTGATTGAATTAAGAATTAAAAGATAGTGAATTCCAGCTTAAAGGCCTGATGATTCTGAGTTTGACCCCCATTTGGGTCTTCGATGCCCACTTCTGAAAAGTCTAATGTTAAGAAGAAACAGCTATCCAGTGTTTTTTTTATCTTCGGTAGTTGTGTATGTAAAGTCATTTCATAGTATCAAGCTATAAAAATAAATGCATGTACTGAAAGACCTTGTAAAAAAAGTTATATTTCTACGATTAATTAAATCCGATCACTTAATTTTAAAACAATAGAACACTTTAATATTGAGTCAGTTAGACTAGTGACCAGATTGGTACTTGACAGATAGTATTGTGTTATCATTAACATTAGATAACGCAGTACTAATTATTTCGACCTGATCATTCACTGTTGACATGCAAGTAACCATAGACCAATTCTACTGGTATAAATCACCTTGTGTAATTGAAATTACAAGAAGTAATGAATTTTTAATCTTCTGTTTAATGTGATACTAGATACTAAATGTTAATCGATGGTGAGATATAATTTTATGAAAATTTCTGCACAGTAATAAAGGTATTCGGCTTTGAATAAGTCGTTCCTTAAATGTAATGGGATGATTGTTTTCTATTTCAGTAGTTATTTACCTATATTTTTCATTTAAAACATATGAACGTGTTTTGAATGTAGAGACTTATAATCATTGTACAATCTCAATTTAATTGCAAACCTATTCTAGAGAACACTTATCAATAGAGTCACACAGATAAAACTTTAAAAATATTCATTTCACTATACTCCTGTTAAATGTAAAATGCTTCCTCTTGACATTTAAGTTAAAATGCTTTCTCTTGAGTTAAAATATTTTAACTGATAGAGGTTTTGTGGATATTATAGTAATTTAATAGCTACATTCACAACTTAATTAAAGCCATCTTACTATGTAAAACCTGAAAGCACTGGAAGGTCATCTCGTCCTAGTATGGAACTCCTTAGAAATGCTCATCCACTGTCCCACTCGCAGGATTCGAACCCAGAACCTGTCAGTCTCGTGCGCAAATGCTTAACCGCTAGACCACTGAGCTAGCATTCACAGGTGTTAATGCATATCTTCAACCGATCCATACTAGGACAAAAGGGCCGTCCATTGCTTCCAAATTTTCCATGGTATTCTAGCTTTATTTGATTTATGAGTTCAACTATTAACATTTCGACATTTACACTGTATTTGATCAAATTGTATACTGACTAATTGGTAATAAATAAAACCATTAAAAATGTTTTTGAAATTGGTTTTAAATAAATCTGACTGTGTACCTGAACTCCATAATAAAGAATATAATAACGTTAAAAGTTCTATTTAGAGTATGGTGCATTAGATTATCGCTAAATTGCCTTTGCTCTTGTTATTTTTGTGATTGAGTAATAACTGTAGAAGACCAAAACTGTTGTAACATTCCAGAGGATACCAAACATCTTAACTTCACCTCAAAATCTGTAAAAACACGATTGTTTCAACCTTATAAATTGGTTATATTTCAATAGGAAAGTTTTCGTAAGTAGTGAAGATTATTGATCATGTTACATAAACCGTATGTGCATTTATTTCCTTAAAAATGTAGAGTTACTTAAGGCAAAAACTTAAAAGGTATTTCAAATTGGATGGAGATGGCAATCTTGTCATTAAATGAAATAGTACTTGGTGAAGTTTTTAAAATCTGGTTTTTCAAACTTTCTGATGAGTCTTACGGATTGAACGCTATATTCGTCTCGTAAGCTACTCTGTAACCCCCAAGCTAGGACTAAAGAGAAACCTGAACACGAGAGAGAAGACGCTAAGTACGCGAGAAGCAGTTTACTCCAAGGCTCATTTTAATACAGAAAATACAGGGTTTTTATAATATTTTAAATGTCCTTGGGTTGCTAGAAGATTCTGGAATGCTACTTAACATAGTAGCAGTTTAGCGGCCAGCCAATTAGAGTCTCTGCATGTGACGTTTCGCTTCCTTGATATTTTTGGCTTAGACTTCAAGTGAACGCTGATTGGATGAAACACTTTTTAGTGTTTCCTGATCCTTGCTTGTCTTTTGCAAGAAATTTTCTGGATCACCCCAACACTTTTTGAATACTGTAGTTTATGTTTTCATTTTTCCCAGAAGAATACGTTGAATGAGATTTGTTAAATTGCGTTAAAATTTTAAACGGTAACCGACAAATTTCATTTCTTACAAAGAAACATCATATGCTTTAAATCTACATAAGATTCTCTACACTAACCTTGTTCAAATTAACAGGTTAGTGTATTGGTGTAGTTAGTGTAAGCGACTGTTCTTAATAACTTGTTAGACAATAAATCTGTATTTGATTTGACTCACTTTCGGAATTTTCAGGATTTTTCAATTCGGCGTCATTTGATTCCTCACAGTCCTTGTGAAAACCAGTCAGAATATTGCTTAACCTTGGAAGAAAAACAGATAATGTATAAATAAATATGCAGTCAAATTTTACAACTAAAAATAATTCATTCTGAGTTACATACAAAATGAGATACATGGGTGTATTTATTTAACATCTGCAGTCGCGTGCGAGACCGAAGGACCTGAGTTCGAATCTCGCGAGCAGGACCGTGGATGCACACTTCTGAGGAGTTCCACACTAAGACGAAACAGACGTCCAGTGCTTTCAGGTGTTCCATGGTAGTCTAGCCTTAACTGGCTCATAAACCCAACTATTAAATCTGTGCTATTCGTTGAATATTGACGACGACTGGCCATACACCCTTAGGGTAAGAATTATGTAATGAAATATAGTATTTGAATACTATCATTATCATCTTTAACTAAATGATTAATTAGCGCATTCAGTTACATTGAAATTGTTTGCACTGCTTAATGTCAAAAATATTATAATATAATCAAGTAATACTAAACAGATGGAAATTTCGAGTTGCGTGAAGCGATCTCTAAAGATTCAACCTAATTATCAAAACCTTGCCACTTAAATGACTAAGCGTCCACTTTACTACCCATGTGAAAAATATAATACCATCACGGTTTGTCTGTAAAAGTGATAATGTAAGGACAGTTCAAGGGTGAACTCGCGGAAACTCTAAGTAAGTCAGAAAGAGCCTAAGATCTGCCATCCAATCGTTTCCAGAATCCCTACATAGAGCTTCCCTATTGAGCAAATGCTAAAAACCCCCTGTATGTGGATTTGGGAACTATAATAATGACTTTGTACCATAGTTGACACTATTTGGAATAGCATTATTTTCACTTGTCTTCTATCTTCTCATTTGCGACTTGGAGAGTTCTAGCATTAGAGTGCTCAAGTTATACGCGGTATATAAGGAGCTAAGCTTTAGATATAACAGATAGTCATGGTCACACTGCGTACTTGTTGCCGAATATCGGTTATTTCATTCGGATTTTAAGAGAATTAAAAATAAATTTATTCATACACTTCTTGAATAGTTTTATTCACTTGTATATTTCTTTTATTGACAAGGTTAAATCAAGTCTCATTAATGTATTATATGAGATGTAAACTTTACTAATTTAACTTACCCTTCTGAATTAGTGTCACATTTTTTTAACATTTTATTCCAATAGCAGTCTGGATCTTTGAGCGCTAAACATTCTCTACAATAAGAATATTAATTTGATAAATTTTAATGTATCTTAAACCAAATATATATTTATTGATGATTAAAATCAAATGTAATTAGAAACCCCTAAAGCAATTCAACTGCTGAAACTTAGTTTATTCATTTTGTAAATGTTTTAGTGATGAATAAATAATTGTCACTAGGTTAGTATATTCATTTAGCTAGCACCACGAACAAACTAGATCGAATATCTGGTATTTGCAGACACGTCTTATTCTGTATGAAATATATTTTTGTTTCCATATTTCAGTTGTTAGGTATAAATAAATCCTACATTGTTAGTATAGTCAGGTAATTTAATCTGCATATTTAAGAAATGATTTTGAGCGAGTTAGTTGCAACCGTTGAGAAAGATAGTTTACTTTTATTGAAAAATCAAGTTTTCTTTTCTATTTTGGGCAATAGGATGTAACAAAATTTGATTAGTTTCAGCTACTTACCATTCTTTATTGTTAGAAATGCATTATTCTGATATTTTAATGTTAACTTAACAGTTCTCAAATATTATACAAACGTCTACTGGTAATTTGATTGATTCATTTTAAAGATGAACAGTATTATTAGGACACCTTTTTTGTAATTAGATGTTCCTTGACTTAAGTAAACAGAAAGCATTACATTATTGAGAACAAGTTATAAAACGTGTATCGTCTGAATGAACACATTTAGAAGTGTTCAAATTATTTTCAAGAAAGCTTGAAGTTGTTATAACTTGTTGCCTTGTGTCCTATTAATATAATTAAAACAACTCATAGTTTCATTGAATAAGAAAAAGAGAATTCGGCGAAGGAAATAAATATAACTCTACATATGAATGTACAACGTAAGTAAACGATTTCGTCGAAAAGAAAATTTTCTTCGCTGAATTATCTTTTTCCCTATTATTATATTACGTAGTGATGCCTCCAATTAGAGAACACTGATTTATCGACCAAACCAATAGCGCATAAAACCCGTACAGGCAGTCTAGAGTCCTTATCAATCCTTCTCCCTACCAAACCCTGCTTGTTAAGTTCAGAACACCAATCTCAGCCTCTGTGACATGAATCATGTATTTCAAACAATCTGGGTTTATATAAAAACCAAACAGACCATATCGCATCACAAAATAGAAGAAACAACACTTGTACAAGATTTAGTCAGAAGTGGCTGTGAATATGGTAATTAATAGACTATGCAGAACTCAAGAACGGTAAATCATATAACAATAATTTATGGATCAACATAGCGCTTTTAATAAGAGGAACATGAATATACATAGTTTAACTACTTATTAATTATACAATAAAAATATAGGCATTATATTGGTTCATAAATAGTTTTTTGTGGGGCCCTTAATTTTGTCGTCATTTAGATCAAACGATGTTGTCGAAAGGGCTCTCCACTTTAGTGACCAAAGATCTGACTCCAAGCAGATCGTAATGATGATTATTGTTGAAATATATATGCCGCTTATCCTCGTAAATAATCATCGACTTTATTCGTGTTAGTCAATAACAGATTTAGATAAGTCAAACAACGAGAATGGACTTTTGAATACATATATTTTGTATATGAAGCGAATGGAATAAAGAGATAAGAAACGACGAGCGGTTGAGATGGCGGCTAAGCCAACTCCCATTTAACCGAGCGTTAATCAATATTTATAGTTACACAAAAGTAAGTTAAAGACATGTGATGAGTAATAGGATGAGAAGTGTACACACACCTACGTGCTAATATAAAATCAGTCAAGATTGATAAGCGAATAATTAACAAGGTCGGAATGTGACTCCAATAGAATGAATAGATTGAGCTGTCCGAAAGCTAGAATAAGATATATGGGCTTAACATAATAACCGACACTACAAGTGATTAAGAGTTACCACTCATAATACTCGTCGGAATATAACAGAACTTCACATCACTTCAAAATTTATCCTAGTCCTTTTATTTTATTTTGGTGATATGTTAAACGTAAAGTACCAATCTATAAATATACTTCTCCGTTTTTCATTCAGAACTATTTCTTGACTTTCAAATTTTTTTTCAATAATAATCATAGAAAAATATTAATTTCTATGTTGTTTATCTTTTCTTCACATTTTTTTCGTTTGTTTGTTTGTTTGTTTAGCTGTTTGTTTACATTTATATTCTTCTATGGTTACTACTTTAATTACCCTTCTGAATACATTTCTATCATAAGATAGTTTAACATTGTATTAATTTACTATAAATGTACCGATTTAAATAGATTAACTTATTATAGTTTCACTTAACTATCTGTCTAATTAACTAATATAAAATTTACAAATTATATTCATCTTTATTTAAGACATTAACTTTAAAGAATGGAAAAACTTTCTTATACTCTCCTTTCTGATAATAATGATAATAATCGTTCGTTATTTGAATTTATCAAATTATCAAGTTCATTTGTAATAATGATACATAGAAACGTATGTCCTAATTACAATGTTCAACATATTTATTATACATTAAAAATTGTCTGATTTCTCATATACAATATGACACAAAAGAGAGAAAAAAAAACATTCTTTAGGGAAATTCAAATGATGAAAAGTATTTCCATCTTTAAATTCCTTTAAATAAACAGTCATTGAATAAGAATACGTGCTATGACAACATTATCATCCAGTAAATAGCCTTGAAAATATAGAAAAAATAAAAAAATAAAACAGGTGGTTTCTTTTAATATTCAAGGATATTGTTCCCAAATTAAACAATAAAGTATCAGTAATTATGTTTGTTTCATACAGTGAATTCAAAGTTTAAATAATTTAGAAAATATCTTATTATTTTATGTTAATGTTTTTCTGAAATAGATAATGAAATTAAGTTAATCATGATTCAGATACCCAGTAAAACTGAGTTATATATATATACAACATAAATAGGAGTAAAAGCATATTTTTTGATGGAGTTTTGTTCTTTGAGCTATATGGCTTATTTGTGGAGCTTTCATCGTTCTTCTGAACGACATCATCAGCGCAAACTTCATCACAAACGTCTATATGAAGTTTATGCTGATGATGTCGTTCAGAAGAACGATGAAAGCTCCACGATCAAAACATCTAGCTCAGAGAGCAAAATTCCATCAAAATCATCCACCTGAGCTACAAATCTTCTCCATCATCTTAGGAGTAAAAGCTGGATAACAGAATAACTATAGTTTACATCTTAGTCTCTCTTTGGATTAAAGTAATTTAATCAAACACGATTCGAGTATTTCTTTGGTGCATTAGTGTACTAAACAGGAACACAAGTAAGGACAATCGAATATATCTGACACAAAATTGCAGAGTATCTCAATAAAATCTGAGAATCATATAGTAAATAGTTAATTTGCAAAATAGCAATCCATCGTCTTAAATTTCACTGTTCCTTTTGCAAATAACGGTCCATTGCCTTAGATTTCATTGTTCATGCATTTTCATACCAATTGTGTTTCGTTCCCCTTCTTTCCTTTCAATCTTCTACTGAAATACATTCTATGTCTGACCATCGTTATATACTACTTATGTGGATATAAGTAACCCATACCACATTAGCAATAAATGGTTACTGAAACTTAAGTACTCTTTTAATTATTATTTACATGTTTTACCCATATATCCAAACAAAGTATCACAGATAAGCTGATAACAAAATAGATAAGTCGCGTACACCACAAACGAACATAATAGTTTATAGAAACAATGAGACAAGTTCATGATGATAGCTCTAAATTTGTATTTTAAGTATACTGAAAAATAAAATAGCCCTAAAATTCCGAATGTCTCTCATTATATTTTTCTGTATTTATCTGTAATTATCAAAGATTGACTATTCAGCTTATATGCAAATAATATTAAAATCATTCATTCAGTGAATCAATTTCATTTCTAATATAAAACCCCGAAATCTCAGGTCATTTTTACATTTGGAATAGATGGTGTAGGCGAACAAGGCATCCAAGCAGGGATTAATTAATGATTTAGAGCTCTATAGTTTTATGAGTTCATCAGCTACGGGCAGCAGTTATAGAAAGCACATTATAACCGAACGAATTCCATAAGTTGCGAAAATTATATACGTTTTTATTTCAGTCTGTCACATTTGGCTATCTCATGACTATATAAGGTAAATCATCATACAGATACACCTTGCTAACAAGTATCAAGTAGCACGAAACTTAGGTCCAGGGTTTCCTGTTGACTACCTCCAACCACCATCATATATCAATCATATATGCTTTCTATAGTCATAATTCCAACTATAGAGCCTATTTGATTAATGTTTCTTTCATACTTTTAATTTGCATATTCATTTGTTTAGTATTTTATCCTAAATGAATGATGTTTTATACATTTTTTCTCGCTTTTTTTCTAGGAAGCATCAACTCTATACGATTAAGGAAAGATATAAATACTCTAGATTGTAGTCAAATTTGAGGATAAACTTTTCACTATTGCTCACTGAAATCGCATTTTTCTATTTACTGTAAATCGTTTAATCATTTCGTAACTCTATCAGATTTACATATTTCGTTGAAACAAGGTTTATATACATCCCAGAAATTCTATGAATTTTCGCAAAGAATCAGTAATTTTATGTTCACTTATGCATGCAAACCGCTGAGATTTATTATGTAAACTAAATTCTCATAATAATGATATATGAAAGAGATTAATATTAAGGTAGTTTGATACAACTACTACAATAAATGAATAAACTTATTTATAAAATTGGCTTTATGAAATTGAAATATTACTGTTCAAGATAAGAGCTTTATTTCACTGATCTGTTAAGTTTCATGGTTACTGTTTAATAGGTAAATGGAAAAAGTTGAATTTTGTATGTCTTACTTAAGAGATTGAAGACCTACAGAGAAATTATTACCTGATTCCACCAAGTCTACGTATATGTTTTCACTCATATTTTTTACAAATATCAGTCTTGAAACAGTGAGGATTTTTTTTCATCATTTATAGTTTGAGCATACAGTTTTAATTAGCTCGGAAAGTGAAACAGATTTCTATCTGTTTAAATTCTAACACCCTAGACAGAGACAGATGAAGTTGACCATATAGCAAACAAACAAATGTAGATAAGCGAGAATCTATAATACAAAAGGAATAATTGGCACCGATCTATGAAAAGTTATTAATGACACCATTCGAAATCTCGAATAAATGTCATATCATTTAAATTCTCAATATAAGTCAATCATATCAAAATAAAAACAAAAATCTGTCTCCACTATCATCTACATAGTTCTTTTTAACAGCCAAATTAGTGGGACTATAATTTATGGACAACCTTTAAGCTACACTAAAGTGACCTTGAGACCATCCACCTAATCACTAGAACTAAATGAGGGTTCTAAACCAATGTAAAGTATTAAAATTATGATTTACAGTTGACGGTTAAGATTAGAAATTGATATTAGCTAAAATGTGCCAAAATCCAAAACCTATTATCTTATACTTGATTAGTTCATCTTTAAATTATCGTCTCGCTGTTAAATTTACAACAACAAAAAAAGACAAATATTTGAACGACGAATATTCTTTTCGATAAATTCTCTTCAGGTTCTACGATTATATATCCAAATTAATAATCCGAAAAATGGCCAGGTTAAGGGCAAACCACATGGTTTAAAGTATGTGAATTTAGGATTGTTAAACAAAATACAATAAAATTGTTGACGTTGATATGATTCACATAGAATGTTAACTTGAATCGGCGTATATGTTAAGTGAAATTTAAGATCCATGATCAGAATAAATATGGGTCAAATAGGGTGAGAGAGAAATAATAGTGCAATTACAATTCGGTCAAATGTTTACTGGAAGGCTATATTGTGTGAAAAATTAGTAAGACGTAATAAGGAGGGATAAATGCGAAGTGAACGAATCATGTATTGGGGAGATTAATAATGATGTTTAACCAATAATAATAATAATAATAATAATAATAATAATAATACAAAGATTTGTGTATAAAGATAAAAAAGACAATTACAATTTCAATAGTTGAAATCGTGAGTCAATTGAAGCTAGACAACCATGGAAAACCTGGAAGCACTGGACAGCCGTTTCGTCCTATTATGGGACTCTTCAACAGTGCGCATCCATAATCTCTGCCCCGTGAGATTCGAACCCAGTACCTATCAGTCTCGTGTTTCCAGGTTTTCCATGATTGTCTAGCTTCAATTGAATCATGATTTCAACTATTGAAATTTGCAAAAATCTCCACAAAACCCATTCTGATAGTAATCAACTGCTCAGTGGTAACTGACTTCAAGAGGCATTTCCTGGAGTTCTAGTGAGAAGCCGTTACCAATGAAGTTCAACCAGGTCTGTTGTGAGATATCAACTCACTGAAGACTATGGTATACGGTGGCGCAACTTCGTGGATTGGTTGAAGCTAAACATTAACACCGTTGGATGTCGGCTCAGTGGTCCCATAGATCCTGGGTTCGAATCTCATGAGGGGCATGGCCGTGGATGCGCGATGCTAAGGGATCTCATAATAGGGCGAAATGGCCGTCCAGTACTTCCAGGTTCTCTTGGTAATCTAGCTTCAATTGACTCATTTTTCCAACTGTTGAAATTTCTGAAAATCTGCACAAAACCCCTTCTGACAATTGCAATTGACTACGAAAGGTCGAAGTCAAATTGGGTCACTCAATAACTAAGTACTATGGCCCAAAGCCGCAAATCAGAAGCAGCGAATTATCTATCGGACCAAGGACGCTTGAAACACGTGCGAGCAGCCTAGAATCCTGATTGGTTCTGCTTTCCGCCTAGCCCAGCCAGTTAAGCCCAGAACACCAGTCTCAGCCTCCGCAATATGAATCCTTATATTTCAAACATACTGATTTTATATAGCGATCAAACAGACCACAACGCAGCATAAACTAGAAAATAAAATTTGTACAGAATTTGACTAAATGTGGCTGTGTATGTGAGAGGCAGGGACTAATAAACAGGGTATAATTCAAGAATAGTGAAATGTATAATAATGGTTCATAGGTCAAAATAAAGTTTATAATAAGAGGAATATGAATATGAACAGTTTAGTTATTTAACAATTATACGATAAAAATATACGTTAAGTATTGATCCATAAAAGGATCCCAAAGTTACCATTCATTATGTTTATCGGGACCTAACACTAAGATCACTATTGATTAATTGTCCTTGATGTTGGCCAGGGGAGGATGAGTAGTTGAAGATATTACTTTTGTAGGCATGGTTCCGGTTTCTTTGTCCGGATGGCTACTGCTTCATCCATTTGAAGGACTTTAAGTCTGATAAGCTTTGGCAAAAAAAAATTACTGACCATATACTTTACCCTTAACCTGACCATTTTTCGAATTATTAATTTGGATATATATGAACTGTAGAACTTGAAGAGAATTTATCGAAAAGAATATACTTCGTTCAAACATTAGTCATTTAATATTGATGAGAATCTTTAAACGAACAAAACAGAAAGCAAATTTATATACAATTTGTTCAATTAAAACACTTACCTACACGTTTGAACTTTATCACATTGTGTTAATTCAATTTGTATTATTGTATCATGTGTAAATATTAATAAAGAAAATATATCCATTGTAGAATAATTAAATGCCTCATTACTTGATCTTATTTGTATAGTTTTATTGAAATAAGATTTATGAAGTAATAATAAATTTGTTATTTTATGATGGTTTTTTGATAGAAATAATTGTTTTATAATATAAATATGACCAGAAGTTATCATTGAGATCATTGATTGGGATCTATTATAATCATCAATTGAAATTGGTTTAGTTAAATTAATATTGTTTTTATATGGATTTAATTGAAATGGAAATAATTCAGAGAAATGATCTTCTATTTCATTGAATAATAACATTTTGTAAACATCACCATTATCTAAATAAAGTATGTTTTTTTGTTTTTTTTTCAGAAAAAAAATCTTTTTTTAATTAGTTCATCAAAACTATATATATAAAACTGATATTGAGTTAAGTAAAGAGATTAAAATGATATAGTTATCTAGGAAACTAAATCTTTAAAGGATTAATTTATTGATGAGAACAAATCAAACAATGCTGGAGATTAAAGATTTTATTTATTGAGTAAGTTGAAACAAATTGTTATAGAATTGAAAGGTTATATAATCATTAGAATAATACATGTAAGTGAACAATTGTTTTCAATTAGATCGTCATCAGGCTTTACTCTAATATACATGAATATTTATATGAAAATGTGGCGAGACTCTAATTTATGGACGAGCCAGAGGCGTTTTAGAGATTTTAAGGTTACGGCGCCAACTTCAGTGCTTAATGCTAACGTACGATCGGTTCACAGGAAATTTTGTACAAAACGTGATAATTGAGTGGCCGTAACAAATAAAACGGTGAGACTATAATTTGTGAAGGAATTAATCAGGTATAAGATAACAGATCTCTGATTTTGGAGTGAAAGTCTTTCAACCATTTGGCTAAGTAAGTTTCTGGCATGATAGCTGATGTCAGTTCGTGATGAAAACCCCATATATAATTCCTAACTAAGGCAAATTACGACAATTATTGTGAACTGGATAATAAAAGCACCAGAATTACTGGCTGCAGCCAGATACTAGAATATATACGGATGATTGGAGAGCGTACAGATTCCTACATAGGATTGATTATGTGCATAGTCTAGTTATCCACAAGTGGAATTTCGTGTTCTTAACAACCGGAGTGCACACAAACAATATTGAAGTTATGTGGTCGAGGCTGAAAGAGTTTTTGAGACTTTATCCTGGCTCCAGAGGCCGACTATTTCCTTTACTGCATGCATTACGATTTTAGAACTTCTGAACCTCTTTCTAATCTTGACAAGTTTTTGAACCACGTATAAGAAGTCTATCCACTTTATTTCCTTGGATTTTTATAATATTTACTTAATATATACTGAATGTATGCAGATTAGCTAATATTTCTCAAGGTCACTTAGATTCGTTCAAAGGTCGTCCATAAATTAGCGTCTCGCCGTAAAAATACATGTTGATAGAGGAAGACAGGTGTACTGATCATAGTAAGAATAATAAAAAGTCATATCAATAGTTAAAAATTGGAAATAGAAGGTCAAACGTTGGTAAATAGATTTAGAATATTTATCACAAAACATTAAATCCATTACGTAATAAGAAGTGATTAAATAATTAGATACTGGGGAATACAAACGGAAAGAGGCGGAAAATTACGAGCAAATACTGGATGTGAAAATAAGGTTAAGAATAACAAAAATAAAATAAAAAAGTCGTTTGTTAAGTAATAACTGGCCACGGAAGGGATAGGGGGGTTACGAATGTCTTCTCTACACATAAATTGGGGTTGTATGTACAAATTCCTATCGCTGAGTTTGCCTCCTCAATGTGCATTTACAAATTCAGCTGCTCCCGTGGAGGTAGCTACATCGGGCGTACTGCCAGCGTGGTTTATAAAAGGGCTAGATAAAAACAATACACAGTTCTATCTTGGCACATCTTATTGATTGCCGTCATACTGTAGATAAATCAGAAGCATTTCCAGTGATCTATCATATCACTCCATCATATCCCAACGGAGTCCATTCCGGTCTCCTACATATAGCTGAAGCTATTGATATACTTTTGTTATCGTATTTTATTATTCTTACTATGATCAGTACACATTTCTTCCTACTATGAACTTGTACTTTTACTTATTATATGTGATGACTTATTCTATTTCATCATGATTATTGACTTAAATTACCTTCATTGGTTTAACATTTTCGTATAAATATTCATGTATATTGGAATCAAGCCTGATGACCATCTAATTGAAAACAATTGTTCACTTATATGTGTTGTTCTAATTTTCATAATGCGAATCTTTAATATATAACCATTAACGAGAGATTTTTATACAAAACTGTATAACGTGAACAGTTGCTTGAGAATAGAAATATGAAGGCTAACAATAGTAGAGAAACAAGCAACAGATTGCTGGTCGTTTGTAAAATTGTAAATATTAAAGAAACGTATATGTTGAATTTATTTCCAAATTAATGAGAGGAAGTGAGTTACACTATTTATACACAGAAATTCTTTCTGGTAATGTGGGTGTCGACTACCCTGTCAGAATGCAATCAAATTTATGTCTTGTGAGTAAACAAACATCCGTCTTATGTATTAGACTAACATTTACCTGACTACGAAGAATGCTGTTCAGATATTCTACTACAAATATATCTAGTCATTACCTAGATGTAACTACATACAATGATGTGGATCATTTAGAATGATAAACATGGATTTTTTAAAAATAAATTAAAGCATAATAAACTCAGATTCAATAAAAATTTCTTACAAGCTTTATTATTAGTCAATAAATCTCCATTGGAACAGTATGCTTTAATGTAGAGCTTATATAATAAACTTTGCTAAATTCTTTTATTAATTATTTTTCAGTCTGTCAAACTAAATTTGATACACTGCACCGTTTGATTGTGGCAAACTGTTATCATATTGTGGACAAAATATAACTTAATTTTATTCAAACGGATTTTGTTCTCTCTCTCTAGTGGCGGCCAAACCAAAACGTGGCATCGGTGCTTAAAGTCACTAACTTCTTGTCTGAGTCATGTTGGTAGATGCAGATTACTGGGTTGGGGTCCGCGTGACTATCGTAACCAATGGCTGGAGACTCTTGGTGACATAGCTCAGAATCGATCACAATGGCGTCGGTGTATACACTCTCTATCTTCCCTTAAACTAAGAGATTAAAATCGCTTCATATCTTTCTTTCTACGAATTAATTCTTTCTTCCTGTACTATATCCTCATATGCAATCTTGCTTTTATATATTACCACCTTTGAATTAACTACTTTTATGAATCCGGTGTTCATCTTGTTGTGTTAATGAGGTATGGCAACTTGGACCGATGCATATATGTGCCTGATCCTACGTTGTAGCTGACTGACTGCTCTCTACCACATAAAAGTGAGATACAAGTCTTTTGAAATCAGAATCAATCGGATAAAGCATGTTAGTCAATAAGTAGACCATACAATCAAGTCACGACTGTATAGGTGAATGACTAACTAACAAAATCTATTATTCTATATTGGTTAGTATTTCGGACTACAATTTTTGTTCGATATCAGTTTTTAAAGAAGTATCTTATGATAATGACACGTTTCTTGGACTCTTGTATTTCCTTGAATATCAGTTCATTCGAATGCTTATAACAATAATTTAAATTTGAAAACGTTTATCAATTAAACAAAGTAATATGTTGCCCTTATCAAATGATAATCTTCCCATTCATTGTTTTAACAACAGAATTTGTATAAGATTTAACCTCATTACATAATATTACAAACCGATAACTCACTCAAAAAAAAACATTCTTAAAATAACATAAAAAAACAGCACATAAATTAATTTCATAAAACGTTCTCGATGTTATTTAACTGTTAGTTTAATATTATTTGTTGAGATCATTTACTACTTGCTGTCACTTTATGTTAACACCGTCCCTAGCAAGTTTAACTCATCTGAATAACATCAACAGTATATCACAGTGTCACATGACACACGCATTTTGGTAGACCTGATTGATATATTTTGGTAATTACTGCTTTGTTGTTCTGTGCTCTAGGTTTTCATTTTACTTTCTCTAGTTGTAGATAATTATCATTGATTCGATCTGGCACACGAAATGACCCTAATTACTACTTACTTACTTACACTTGTTACTCTCAATGGAGCATAGGCCACCGACCAGCATTCTCTATCCCACTCTGTCATTGGCCTTCCTTTCTAGTTTGATCCATTTGTTGTTCGTTCTTCTCATGTCTGTCTCCATTTCTCGACGTAATGTGTTCTTTGGTCTTACTCTTTTCCTTTAGCCTTCAGGATTCCACCTGGGGGCTTGCCTTGTGACACAGTTCGGCGCTTTCCTCAATGTGTGTCCTATCCACTTCCAGAGCTTCTTCCTGATTGCGTCCTCCGCTGAGATCTGGTTTGATCTTTCCCACAGTAGGTTGTTGCTGATAGTGTCCGGCCAACGGATCCGAAGTATTTTGCGTAGACAACTGTTAATAAACACCTGTATCTTCTGGATGATGGCTTTAGTAGTTCTCCAGGTTTCCGCCCCATACAGTAGAACTGTCTTGACATTTGTATTGAAAATCCTGACCTTGGTGTTGGTTGACAGTTGCTTTGAGTTCCAGATGTTCTTCAGTTGTAAATATGCTGCTCTTGCTTTACCGATCCGCGCCTTTACGTCTGCATCGGATCCACCCTGTTTATCAATGATGCTGCCCAAATATGTAAAGGTTTTTACATCTTCCAAATCTTCTCCGTCAATTGTGACTGGATTGGTGCATGCTGTGTTGTATCGGAGAATCTTGCTTTTCCCTTTGTGTATATTGAGACCTACTGCTGCTGAGGCTGCTGCTACAATGATCGTTTTCTCCTGCATTTGTTGTTGCGTTTGTGATAGGAGGGTCAGATCGTCTGCGAAGTCTAGATCGTTCAACTTCATCCTAGATGTCCACTGTATACCGCGTTTTCCTTCAGATGTTGACGTGTTCATGACCAAGTCGATCATCAGAAGAAAGAGAAAGGGTGAGAGTAAGCTAATTACACCGTTCATAAATCAACAGGCTGTCCATTTAAGAAAAATTAAAAGTTCCCGGCTGATGCATTGGATCACTGTAATACATGTACTACCTAAACAATTACTGAACTAGTATACTTAAAACTTTCTTCTATCACATGTTTGTACTGTACATCTAATGTTCCTCTTTATATCAAATTGATCATGCCTGTAAACTGGTGGGAATTCTGTAATTATTATTTTCAGAATATAAATAAATTTACCAAAAACAATAACTTACTTGTTCCAACATAAAAAATTGTATAACGTATATGTTTTATTTGTCCAGGTTGTGTTTTATCTTGATAAATTTTAGAAACATGACGTGGATCAATAATAAATCCAGTAATTTGTGAATGTGATTCAATCATGCCAAAAATATCTAATTTTTCTGGATAAACTGAATCAATTAATAATGATGCTTCTAATGCTAAACGTTTATTTGATGTAGTTGAACCTGGACACTAAAATTAAGTACATAAAATAATAATTAAAAAAATCAATTATATATTTTAAAAAAGAATTTTATGTATTTTTATCTCTGCTCCTTATGGAATAACAAAGTAAGTAACTATTCAATAAATGAGTAATCTTCGGATAAATCAGTATTAAACATTCTCATTGTGAAAAGTAGAATAACACATATAAGCGAACAATTGTTTTCAATTAGATCGTCATCAGGCTTGATTCCAATATACATGAATATTTATACGAAAATGTTAAACGAATGAAAGTAATTTAAGTCAATAATCACAATGAAATAGAATAAGTCATCACATATAATAAGTAAAAGTACAAGTTCATAGTAGGAAGAAAGGTGTACTGTTTTTGTTATCATTAACCTTATTTTCATATCCATTATTTGTTTGTAATTTTCCGCCTCTTTCCGTTTGTATTCCTCACTGTCTAATTATTTACACACTTCTTATTATGTAATGATTTTAATGTTTTGTGATGACTATTCCAAGTCTATTTACGAACATTTGACCTTCTATTTCCAATGTTTAACTATTGATATGACTTTTTATTATTCTTACTATGATCAGTACACCTTTCTTCCTACTATCAACTTGTATTTTTACTTATTATGTGTGGTGAGTTATTCTATTTCACTGTGATTATTGACTTAAATTACCTTCATTCGTTTAACATTTTCGTATAAATATTCATGTATATCGGAGTCAAGCCTGATGACCAACTAATTGATAACAGTTGTTCGCTTATATGTGCTGTTCTAAATCAATATTTAGCATATATTATTTACTATAATAAATATATCTATTACATAATGTACTTTTATAAAAATAAATCAAAATTAATATTGATCAACTAAACTAAAAGTACCCTACCTATATCACTTACTGTCTATTTTCAAAACTGTCATTATTATTTTGATGCTTTTAGTGTTTAAAATCCTATAAATAATTTAATGTCTTAGATACTAAAAATTAATTAATAATACATTGTTATTAAATTCTAAGCATGGATTGCCGGTGATGAATACACCTTCTGTATTCTCACAATTATATTCACATTACCAATAGCTTGAGAGTTGAACTCTACTAAAAGTTGTAGGTATCATTACTAAGGTTTGACTTGATAATTTCGAATAAATTGAGCATTGCGTAGACTATTATGAATAAAAATAATATATTTATGATATCTCAATGAATAGAAAAATTAGATTTTCTTACGTTTCGTGACTTAATGTAATTCACTTCTTCAGAGAATAAATAACCAAATTAAAATTAATCCAAGTTTAAAAGGAACAAAGTAATAGCAGTTCGTGCCATTTTTATAAACCACCAAATCGATTTCCATATAATGATTAATAATACTACCCTCAATAGAAAAGAAGGCCTCATTATACACCCGACTTGGACTATCCATCCAAGCTATCATGTCTGATATTATTCACATTTTATATTGTTATCTTACATGCGAATCAAATTCTTTCTTTTCGCACCACAAAGGTCACATTTTTTGTCTTTGACCTTGCACACACACACACACAAAGTGACATACATGTCGCTTATAAATCACCCTGACCGAAGTGACATGACATTGACTTGTTCAGACCTGATTTTCGATCGCACATAATATTCTTGCGTTGTTCATTTTTACTATTTAAACTTGGATTAATTTTGATTTGGTTATTTATTCTCTGAAGAAGTCGCTTACACTGAAACAAGAAACGTCAGAAAATCTGATTTTTCTACTCATTGTGATAATAAAAATATAACGTTTTATTTACCTACTAAAAGTTGTTTTAAATGGTGTTTATCTACGAAAATAATCTATCTAATAAATTTCTATGCAAATACTAAACGAAGTACAATAGTACACCAGTCTGTGCACAGAAACGTACAAATTTCATGTACTCACATAGACATTAATAGAGGTATGTTTAGCTCAACATGTTACCATTTTCGACAGTTTCCATTTATATTAAAATGATGCTCTCATTGTTTATAAGTAAAGGTGCTACTTTAAGATAAAGCAAACTAATAATTCAGTATTACATTAAAATTGTAGAATTCCCTTGACTGAGTAACTCGTTCGTGCAAAAGTTTCTTGTAATTTCTTTAATATCACCAACCTAACAAACATCACATATCGTCGCTTCTATCAAGGTGTGTTGACAATAGAAGACAGGGTTTTTCTCCAGGGAAATAAACACAACCACCACAAAAACGATAGATTTTCCTAAAAACTAGCACTAAAATCAGTCAATCGTTAGTAAACCTATTGAAATATATTCATTTTACCAAATATTTGGACGAATTAAAACATTATGATCACGAATAACATCGAAATGACAGTCAATACGATGCTCCAGACAATAATATCAAACTGAAATCTCACACAACTTAGTGTGTTACTTTACAGAAAAATAAAAATTATTTATGTCTAGTACCTTAATTCATTTCTGATCTTTATTTAATAAACCCTTTTATATATTTATATTCTCATGTCATAGAAAATTATGAAAGCTAAACCATCAATGATTATCAGGTATAATATCATTACATTCAAACTATATATTTGTTATTATGAAATTTTCAAATACCTTTGTAAAGTTTGTTAAATATGAATATTTATCACGATTTATTCGTTTGAAACCATTTGAAAATCTATGCCTACCATATGTAAACAAATCACGTTCATCATTGAATTTTGAATAATTTTCATAAATTATATTTATTTGTTCTTTATGATATGATGGTGAAAATGTTGGTAAACGTAACATTAAATCACTAGATTCAATGATTTTATCCACATTAGAAAGTTTATAAATACATAATGCCAATGGTCCAGATGTTACTAGATTATTTGTTAGTTTTAATGGTAATTCATTATTTAATTGAGGATCACGAGCTGAGAATAAACCATAAATAAGTAAATCATTTTTAATTTCTGGTATATAACTTGTTGATAATGCAACAAGATAATTAAAATCACGATTTGTAGATGAGATACTATTTTAAAAAAATATAAAAACAAAAGCAGGTTAAGCACAAGTAAATACAAAAAAATAAAAAAATTTTATAAATCAATTAGTATGTTAATGACGTACCTGAAGGGGTTTTGTGGAGATTTTTAGAAATTTCAATAGTTGAAATCATGAGTCAATTGAAGCTAGACCACCATGGAAAACCTGGAAGCACTAGACGGCCATTTCGTACTATTATGGGATTCCTTAGCATAGCACATCTACGACCATGCCCCCCTGTGAGATTCGAACCCAGGACCTATTAGTCTCGCGCGTGTGCGCTTAACCATTAGACCACTGAGTCAGGTTTTCCATGGTGGTCTAGCTTCAATCGACTCATGATTTCAACTATTGAAATTATGTATCTATTAAAATATTTATCATTTATAAATTGGGTATATTGAAAAATGGTCAAAATCACGGCGATACTATAATTTATGGATGAACTAATCAGGTCTTGGATTTTGGCACGAAATCCACTTACCCATTTGACCAAATAACGTCTTGGCAATTTAGCTGATTTTAGTTCGTGATGAAAAACTGTAAACCTAATTCCTAACCCTAACTATCAACTGCGAATAATAATCCTTATTCTTCAAGCTGCTTTATAACCCTCATTTAGCACTAATAAGTAGAAATACACTCTCAAGGTCAGTACAGCGTCGTTCGACGATCGTCCAAAAATTATAGTCTCACCGCTAAAACTATTATTCTTAAACTCGAGTTAAAAGGGATTTAAATAGCCGGTAATTTTTTTCTATAAAAAAACGCAAGACAATTAAAAATTTAAACTGTGAGCATATAGATTAATGTAAATGTAAGTTTAGCCTACTTAATAATATCCTTTGAATTATTTGATCAAATCAAATGTGGTTATTATTTTTAATATTACTGATTAATATAGCTGATACATTCATGTATTAAGGATTGATAGGTCGAGTACTTCATAATAAATAAACAATAGTAAATATAAATACAAACCATCACAAACAATATATCAGTGTAGGGTTGTAGAGATTATTAAGTTCTTGATTGAGATCATGAACCGATTGATGTTAGACCACCACTGAAAACCTGGAAGCATTGGACAGCCTTTTCGTCCTATCGTGGGACTACTCAGTAGTGCGCACCCATGATCCCACTCACGAGATTTGAATCAAGGGCCTTCAAACTCACACGTGAACGCTTAACCTCTAGACCGCTGAGTTGGCCGGCATCCAATGGTGTTAATGTCTAGCGTCAACCAATCTTACATTGTACTGAGGTAGATACCTGTCTACCCGACACAGTTTGGTTCCATTAGCCATGGCTTCTCACTAGAACTCCAAGAATTCCCTGGCGAAGCTAGTCACTAGTGAGCACATGGTAATTATCAGTATGGGGTTGTGGAGACTATTAGGTTTCTGAGTGAGATTATGAACCGATTGATGTCAGACCGCTATTGAAAACGAAATTCCATAATCTGATTAGCCAAATTATCATTCACTACAGTGAGATAACAATAAGTAAGATTGAGAACAAGCAAATAAAAATATTAAAAACATTACTAGTTAACAGCTAAACAAATTCTTGGGATCATCTTGAAGAATCGAACATTACCAAAATCAAAGACAAAAAAGAAAAGAAAGAACATAAGTGAAAATAACAAGGAATTTGTACCTCTAGTAGAGATGTTTCAAACATGAAGCAGACTCATCGAAATAGTAAAACTAAAGAATATATGTTTTATAACGGACACTACACATTCTGTCAATTTTCCCTAGAGCCACGTCACGGTGATACGAAATGTTATCTAGTAGATTTCTTTGATCTTAAGAGCTAAGGAGAAATATGTTGCTACAACTAATATCATAAATATGTTGCTAAGTTAACTGAATCCATCTTAGTATTTACTTATTAAACTGAATTTATTTTGTGGGAGCATATTGTTCTTTTTTAAACAAACAGTAATTTTCCCATAATTATTACAAATAATATGAATTACCCCGTTATTTAGATGCTTATTGAATTATGATCAGTTTTTGTTATCCTGTAAGAATTGTTTCTACACAAACATTTTGACGTAAATTTTGTGTAATAATAATAAGATCAAGAACTCTGATTTTTCTTTTTTCTGACTGTTCAGATGAGTGGACCTACATTGCAGTATTTATGCTCCCATTGGTACCAGAACACCATACACACAGTCGATGAGTCCTGAATAGAATGAGCTGAACTTTCTGGATCCCGTTTCTAGCCTCACCCCATCCATTCTATCTGAATTATCAGTTATCGTTCACTTACTTCATAGTTAGGATAAACGTTATAAGAAGGATACAAAGTAATACGTTCTCTATGGGTTCCATAGGCTCTATGTTTCAATTTATTGCAAAGTCTTAGTGTACACTATTTTGGAAATTTCATACTAAGTCGACATTTGGCCAAAACCAGTTAGTAATGCTAATTATCTTAAAAATCTCGTGTACTAACAAAAATCAAATCATTTATAAGAACTTAACATTAAAATTACTATCTGTTATGGCTGTGATGCTGCAGATTAGAGGGTAGCGAATTATCGATCGGACCAAAGGCGCACAAACACGTAAGAACGGCCTAGGGCTCTGATTGATCCCGCTTTCCTGTCTAGCTCAGCCAGTTGAGTCCAGAACGCAAGTCTCAGCCTCTGAGATATGAATCATTATATTTCAAACACACTCTGTTTATATACCAACCAAACAAACCACATTGTACCATAAAATAGAAAACAACATTTGCACAATATTTAACAAGTGGAACAAATATTGACCAATAGGGAATGTCCATTTAAAGTCCAAGGACACTATTAGACTTAACATGATAATTATTGGTATATTTTTCCGGATATCCTAACACTATCAACTTACAGAAATTAATAAATAAAATTATAATTTTCAATTCAAGATCTGAACAGTTATCCACGAAGTTGCACCACAGTGAGTTTCTATCTCACAGCAGACCTGGTTGAACTCCACTGGTAACGACTTCTCACTAGAACTCCAGGAGTATCTCCTGAAGTCAGTCACTAGTGAGCAGTTGATTATTATCAAAAGTGGTTTTGTGAAGATTTTTAGACTCATGAATTCAACCTGTGAAATTTCTAAAAATCTCCACAAAACCCATTCTGATAATGCTAAACAGTTATGTCATATAAGTTTAAAATAATTTCACTTGATAGTAGAAAATTCATTTATTTCCATAATTATTATTTATTATCATAATATTACTTAAATGAATAAATAAATCAATAGTCTTAAGGGAGATTAAAGTTAATTAACAAATAATAATAATAAATGAATAATAATGAAGTCAATTCGTAATAAATTATGCTTTTTTAATAAATCAGTTTACAAAAAGAAAAAAAAGTCAATAGATTGGGTTTATTGTTACCTTTTCATTAGTTTCCATATATAATTGCATATTAATAATAGTAATAATAATAATAATAATAATAATAATAATAATATAGAAAAATGTCGACTTTTTACAGTTTTATTGAATTTATCGGTAAATGTTTTAGTAATAATATTCGACGAGACTCTGATTTATGGACGAGCCATTCAAAGGCGTTTTACAGATTTCAAGGTTACGGCGCCAACTTCAGTGTTTAATGCTAACGTAGGATCGGTTCACAGGGAATTTTGTACAAAACGTGATAATCGAGCAGCTATAACAAATAGAACGGCGAGACTATAATTTGTGGACGAATCACTCAGGTATAAGATAACAGATCTCAGATTTTGGCGCGAAAGTCTTTCAACCATTTGGCTAAATAAACTTCTGGCATGATAGCTGATGTCAGTTCGTGATGAAAACTCTATATATAATTCCTAACTAAGGCAAATTACGACAATTATTGTGAACTGGATTATAAAAGCACCAGTAACACTGACTGCAGCCAGATGCTACAATATATACGGATGAATGGAGAGCGTACAGACTCCTACATATGCTTGATTATGTGCATCGTGTAGTTATCCACAAGTGGAATTTTGTGTTCTTAACAATCGGAGTGCACATAAACAATATTGAAGCTATGTGGTTGAGTCTGAAAGAGTTTTTGAGACTTTATCCTGGCTCCAGAGGCCGACTATTTCCTTTACTGCATGCATTACGATTTTAGAACTTCTGAACCTCTTTCTAATCTTGACAAGTTTTTGAACCACGCATAAGTAATATATCCACTTTATTTCTTTGGTTTTGTATAACATATTTTTGCTTTATACTGACTGCTTGCTGATCGGCTAATATTTCTCAAGGTCACTTACGATTCGTTCAAAGGTCGTCTATATATTAAAGTCTCGCCTAATATTCTCATGTACATTTATTTCTCCTAAAATAAAATTTCATTTTATAATGTACCATATTCAATTGATTTCATATTAAGATTAATCCAATGTCTTATTTTTTCAGGGTTTTGTAGATATGATAATAATTTAATAAGTGAAGTTGGATCACCATGGAAAACCTGGAAGACTGATAGGTCATGGGTTCAAATCTCGCGAGGCGAGGTCGTGGATGTGCACTCCTGAGGTGTCCCATACTAGGATGAAATGGCCATCTAGTGCTTTCAGGTTTACCGTAGTGGTCTAGCTTTATTTGACTCATGAATTCAAGTATTCTTTCTGTCTACGATGTGACCGCTTCTGTGTAATAAAAAAAACGAAATTTATTAGAAACGTTTATGTACTTGATAATTTTTCTATAGTTTATCAGCAATAAATGAAATTATTCTGGCTAAAAAAGTACTTTTTTCGTAATTATTAACAATGATTTATATCAAACTTTTCCAAGCTGAGGTTCCCATAGCCAAGTTTTTTTAAAGGAATTTAATTATCATAATGAGAAATGTAATAAATGCATCATCAGATCAAGTTACTTTAAAATGTGGTTTAATTGAATAACGAGACAATAAAAGTTTTAAACTCAAAGGATATGAATACATTTTATATATTGCTTTTCTAATGTTTATATCAGAAAGGAACTAATTATAGGCACCATTTTACCAATTTTCCGTTCTATTCATTCATGATTATCAAATTTTCTGCATTTTCCATATTTTTAACTGATATATAGCAAGAAACAAACTCAATTGTTGCGTATGACTGGTTAAAAATAGATCTACCACTAGAACGTAAAATTATATATCATCGTGTTAAGACTGGTTTAACAATCTTGGCTTATGAAGCGAATGGATACGTGAATATAGTTTTAAAATTCTGGTAAACGTATAATACTTTCAGATAAAATCTACCTCATACTTAACTGACTAGTAAAACTTTTTATGCACACTACAGAGCAAAGCATATACACAAACTCCAAGCTTATCACTTTATAGATATTCTATGCTGATGAATGCTAGTGAAAAGAAAGCCGGTCTGACATATGTTCTATCTGGAAATACATAATTCTAACGCTTAACTCACTAAACTAATTTAGGATGAAAATGAGTAGTGAGTAGAAAGGTATATTAAAAAATTATGTGTGCTTACAGCTCAAACAAACGCACAAATAGAGTAACAAGTGAATGATGACCTTGATTAGCTTGATAATCACGTTATTTATTAGAGCATACCTAAGTCTGCATTTGACTTACTTCGAAACCTTTGGAAAAATGTCGTTAAACCTGATATTATCCTGATAACTATTGTCGATTTCATCATACTTAAACTGCCTTTTTCTCTTTATTTGTACACTAGTTGTTTGTTGATTATTAGCCAATTATATGACACAGTATAACATTATGTACTTCAAAGCTACCTTTAAATTTCTGTTTAACCTAGGCCGTTAGTAAATAATCCCTGTATTTAAAATGGTGGAAGCATGAATTTATCAATATGGCTAGGAATATATTTAAAACTCACCAACCACAAGAGACGTCAAATATTTATAGAGTACTTATTTCCTGATAACTTAGGAAGCTAGATTACATGTGTTTTTAACAACACATAGTTTACCTATACTTCATTTTAGAAGCTCCTTGCTGAAACAGTCCTAAAGTATTCACTTGTATAATACGCTTCACTTAGAGAACGGTATCACTTATCCTCTAAACTACATGAAATTACTCACGTTAATTTAAATTTGAATTAGCAAACAGAAAGTGAGAGAACAGTTTATAAAGCAATATTTTTCATCCTATTTTAAAGGTAGTAGCATGTTGAAAACAATAGTCGACTTACCTAGGTGATCCATCTAAGTTTTTTGTTCTTGTACGAACTTGACATACAAGCCTTGTCTTAAAAAATGATGTGAACAGTTTACTTCCATCATTTGGCATAAGAAACCCTTTATCTTCTGTACAAATGCGAGCTATACGTGTATATACAATCTATTTTAATGAAAGAGGGAACAAAAACACATCAATATGATTCGTACAGTTTATTACCGAGTAGAAGAAACTGTTAACATTAGAATATTATCTTTCCTAATTTACAGAATTTTCAATTTCGTAACTCAAGATTTCCTTTGAGTGATTAGATCAGTAATTATTTTGTTGAGTAAAGTATTTATAAGTAATAAAGAATTTACTCTCATAAGATTCTGTTATACAAGTGAAATCCTACTAATTAAAGGTTAAATAAACGTAAATCTGACCTAGATTCATTGTAAAAAATTTAAAACAGACTTAACTAAAAAGCTATTTTCATATCATTACAAGAATGTAACGCAAAATTTAATCCATCAGTACAAGCAATAAGGGGAAGCGAAACATAACTATAGATGTTAAATGTCTTGTTATTTTTTTAGAATTACGATAACTCGTACTATATTCCCTTGGTATGAAGAATAAAATGTATAAACAAGTAAATTTAAATCATGTTCTGTTAAACCAAACTGCCAGTTTAGGGTTTTGAAGACTGTTGAATCTGTATTGCGATCATGAACCGATCAATATCATACCATCACAGAGAACCTGGAAGCACTGGGTGGTCGTTTCTTCCTTTTATGGAACTCCTTAAATGTGTGTTTGAGCGTCGGGCTTGAGATCGTGAATGAGCACTGATGAAGAGTTCCATACAAGGACGAAACGACCCTCCAATGCTTTCAGGTTCTCGATGGTAGTTCAACATTGATAGGTTCATGGTCTCAATAAAACATCAAAATATACTGTTGTAACAGTGATGAAAATATAACGCACTTTAAAACAAAGAATTGTGAAATGTATGGGAAGATTTGTAAATCCAGTGGATGTTAGCGGTGATATTATACCCTGTTAATATTTCAGTCTAATGTTGAACTCATTCGTTGCTTTTTCAGACAATATCATCAGTGTATCGCCTGAAATAACCTCTATTTTAAAGAACGCAGTGTTAGCAGAAATCAGTTTTGTACTAAAAACATAATGTTAACAATTTTTTCGCTCATGATAATCAAACAAATCGATCTTTCTGTTTATACGTTATTCGAGACAATTATACACTATCAACAAAGTGTTTGTGATGCCAAAAGCTTAAATTAAAATAGTTATTCCTAGAACTAGTTTCAAAAGTAGATAATAAATTGTTTATATTTTAGATAAATTCTGAAGACTGTAAATCATACTGATTCACAAATCAAAAGTTTTCAAAACCTATAGAGTAGTGTAATAATAACTAATTATAACGTTAAGTATACCGACAGAAAAATAAGTAGACCAATAAAATTAGTAACCAAAACTCCTACACTGCTGTAGCAATGTAAGAACACAACTACCAATTGAATTAAACGTCAATATTTCTTAACAAAGCTAAAAAGTCTACTCATTCCTATTGCTTCACAACCGTACTTATCGCCTTGCTAAGCCGTTTCTTAACAACCACTGTTTGTATAGCTATGTACATATTTTAACCAAAGTACTCAAGTTGCTAAGTACTTTGTTTAGTTCTAATAACTTTCCAAAATTATATGTACAAAATGAAGAGGAAAAAACGAAAATTCAAACAGAATAATATGAATACATTTTCATTCATGAGCTTGTCATCAACTACATACAACTTCTAACATTCAGAAACAATTATTATTACGAAATGAGATTAAAGTCCTTGGATGAATGAGTTTAGTTGGAAGTTGTTTACAACTCACATTATCATGGTGAAGCAGGAATGAATATAGAAGACTAAATAAAAATATTGCAAATATATTTCCTTGACTGATAGCCTTTACGAGCAAAACTCTAAAGTAGAACCTCTTTTCTGTTCTGACAATATGACTACTTATACAGATACTCTTAAATATACATCTATAGTCAGTACCATCATGAAGAGGATGGTTGTAGGTAACTCAATTTAGATCAGTCCAAATCAACTGCATTGCTTGTTTCCACAAGACTAAGCAGTTACCACGTGAATTTTAAAACCCTAAAACCTCATGACTACTGTCGTTTATGGCATATAAATTGATAAGTAGAAATTGTTTAGTTTAACCAATCAGTTGCCACACAATATTTTCCTATTTCAAATTGAAGTTACTAAAAATAGTAATATATACAACTTTAAACAAAATAATTAAGATGTAACTTTCTTTTGAAAATAAAAATAAATTTTAAATTTCCTAAACGTTTATTCAGTATTGATTAGTTTATTTTTTATCATCCTCCCTTATTCTTTATACCTGAAAAACTAACGAAAAAACAAAGTTCTTAAGTAAATATTTATTTTTTCATTTCGAATGTAAACTAGTTTTACTTTATGTATATCTAACCATAGATAAGTTAAATATATTTTATGTGATCACTAAACAAGATGATTTGATGTTATATTGAACTTTACTTGATCCGATTTGATTGAAGGGAATCTGAAGAAAATTCAAATCAATTGTAATCCAGTAAAATTTTATAATCTATATAAGATTTTAACCCAAATTACATGTCTTCACATTCATTTTTAATCTTATAATATATACTAGTTAATAATCGAATAGCGTTCTTAATGTATTTTGTGGTTCCCTTGACAAAACATGCAATCGGTCAACCGATAGATTAATACTTTTATATTATAATATATTTTGTTATTATTTATAATCAATTTTTAATTAAGGGATCTTCTATGCTTTACATTGAGATTATATATCCATATTCCTAATTTACATTATATACGCTTTTCGGACAAAATATATTTAGACAATAAATTCACTAATAACAATACAGTCATTTTAATTTAACCATTTACGTTTTTGATTAAGATAATGAAGTGATTGATGCTAGAGCACCATTGAAAACCTGGAATAGCTGGATGGCCGCTTCGTCCATTTCACCGTGATCAGTAGAGCTAATCCGTGTCGGGTAGGGACAGGTATCTACCTCAGTACAATGGAAGATGATCACGTAATTTTGTGGATTGGTTGAGGTTAGACATTAACATCATTGGATGCCGGCCAACTCAGCGGTCTAGAGGTTAGGCGTTCGCGTGTGAGTCTGAAGGCCCTTGGTTCAAATCTCGTGAGCGGGATCGTGGATGTGCACTACTGAGTAGTCCCACGATAGGACGAAACGGCTGTCCAATGCTTCCAGGTTTTCAGTAGTGCTCTAACATCAATCGGTTCATGATCTCAATCAAGAACTTAATAATCTCGACAACCCTATACCGTTAACTATTTAACTGACTTTTTAAATACTTAATTCTTTTACGTTTGCTTCCAGTTTATATTATATAAAACAGCGTTTAATGTTGGTTCTATTATATTTGGCTTATTAAATTTTATCAGGACTTATGAATTATTATAGCTCTGAACAACATTTTGAAATATAATATAATATATATAAGTCTCCATTCTAAACCAATTCACATGTACGTGCCATAGCACATACATTGGGAGAACTGAGAAAAAGGTACATTTCGCATTTCTCAGCATGTTCCAAAGAACTTGAGGCTGCGAGGGACTTGGACTCTCAACAGTGCAATAGCTCAGCATTTACTTGACACCAGGCATACCATCGACATTCCACACGCTTTTAAAATTATCAGCAGACAAAGAAGTAGGACTGCTCTCCATCTTACTGAAGCGATCGCGATAAAAAAAGTTAAACCGGATTTATGTATTCAAAAAGAGACAGTAATGAACTTATTATTACCCTGGTAATCCACTTTATTGTGTTTTTTTCGTCATTTGTGTTATTTTATTCATTTATTTATTTTTAAAATATTTATCTTGTATTATATTCCTCACCTCATTACTGAATTCTTAAACCAACTTTTCATTCACACATTTCTACCCAGTGATCCTCTTAAATTATGTTATCTTTTCAAATTCTATTCAATTATTACGTAACCTGTCTTACCACTGTCTAATTCCATGAATCCTTCACTACCTCTAAAATTATCACATAATTTATGAACTCCACTCAACTATTACACCACCCATCCTGAATTGTTTCCTTGATTCTAACACCAATTAACCTCTGACCTGTTCTTGTATATATATATATATATATATATAGTTATTATTGGAAACCTCTGTCATTCCAATCATTTACATTCATTTATGTCAAATGTTTCACACTATTTCTTATCTCAATGTAAAATTCTATTACATATTTGGTTGTAAGCAGCTGACGAGAAACCTCGAAATATTATGAATTCATACTATTCTCCATCAATATTTATTGTTCCTTTATTTAAACTCATAAAGGGAACTAATTGCATATAAATAAGGGCTTATTCTACAGTTAAATTAATATTATGTTTTTGAACAGTATAACAACGTAAACATTCATTATCCATTGTAAAACACGTATTTTTCAAAATACATTAAATACATAGCAAAATTTAGTAGTTTTATTAAAATAATAAGTAATATGATTAAAACACGGAGTTCGGCGAAGGGATCTCTTCTCAATGAATTTATTAGCAAGCTGTACAATCGTATATATATGAAAAAAGCACTAGTTCCGTGAGATGTGAATACAATTAACCAAGATGCCGTAAAAGAAAGATTATAATGCCAGATTACGTAATACGAATGATAACAATAGATTTAGGGGATATAATAATAATAAATAATAGCTTACCTTATATTCAGATGTCCATGGGTTCTCCTTAAGTTGAGTTTCTATTGCTGGTTCTTGAAAAATAATATATCTTTTACCAGGTAATGATAAAATTTTATAAAACATAAATTCATAACCTTCAGTAAAATGAGAATTTTTCAATTTACTCGTTTGTAACAATTTATTCCAACGTATAGAATTTACATTTAAAGACCAATAATTTTTATCATATATATTAGAATTATCATTTAAATGATTTGAAGCATGATGTGCAGTTTCATTAATATTCATAAATCTATTCGACAGTAAATTAAGTTTTTTTAATTCTAACCTAGGAAAATATCTATTAGACAAGTAGGCTAATGTTAAATAACCATCTAAAACAAACAAAAAAAGGAAGATTGAAATATAGCACAATGAAAAAAACAATTAAAATTATTTCAAAAATAATTCTAAACATGTAAGTGAACGGTAATTTGCGCGGTCATATAATAAACAAACACACAAACAAAGGTAACTGAATAACAATAAAACTTTTTATGTGTATTTTATTTTTAATTATCATTCTCAAAATGTATGTCAGATGAACCAAAATCAGATCAAATAATCTAAAAAAGTTCAAAGAAACTAACCAACATAATTTATTTCTTGTCTTCAATAGTTAATAAATATAATATAATTCAATAATACATGCAAATAATTAACCGGAATAAACACATCTACTACAGAACTGTTGAATATTATTTCAAAACATCATTTGTCAGTATATATATATATATATATATATATATATATATATATATATATATATATATAGAGAGAGAGAGAGAGAGAGAGGGAGAGAGGATGTGCTAAATTGTTGATTCACCTTATTCATGTCCGTTATTTAGTCTTCATTGCCATTACTTACTCATAAAATTATATCTTTTATTATTATAAAACAAAATACGGGTTATTATTATCATTCGTATATGGAATTATCATTACTGTTATTATTATTATTGCCATCACTATTATTAACGTAATAATTAATGAACTTCAGTAGAATATCTCGGAAGTTAATCAGTAGAATAATACACATCCGTGATGTGTGTCATGTTTCTTTAAATTTGTGTTTACAGATTTATCTACAAGATTTTTATGACTATTTACTGTTTTATTTATTTATGTTTCAAAACAAAACATGATAACATAAAAAGAAATGAAACAATAGAGTGTGTATATGAGTATCACCATGTTTAATATTTTACACATTTATGTTCATTATCTCAATCATTTTGTTTTAGAAAAATAAAGTTTCTGTTACGTGTTAAATCAAACAAAGAAAATTGTTATTTATTTTAAATTTAATAATTTTAGAAAGAATGAATAAATGAATAGGATTAAAATAACTAGGTATTAATGTGAGAAGATATCTAATCAAGAGGTCAAATACTAACGTGATGTGACCAGGATATGAATTGTATAAGTGTTTCTCAATGTTATAAAACGCTTGGTAGGCAGGCTTCACACTACCCGACGAATGACGATTTTTAGGGGTATCGACTTAACTGGATGCGACATGAAATTTTTTGTTACAGATATAATATACAAATATATTACTGATGTTAAAAGAACTCAGCAACAAAACTGTTAACTGCTGTTATGCCTTTTTGGTTGATTTCCAGCGTTGATCGCCAACCTTGCATTTACATGACTAAACAAGTAAATACCAAAGAAATACAATGTTTGAACAAATGTCCAACAACTTTATCGACAGATATATCATGATGTAGAGAACAGATTTCGCTTACCTCCTTCCTCTTATGTTTAAGTGCTACTGGTTCGTGACTAAGCTGATGGTTAAGCTTTTGGTTTACGTTTTATAACCCTTTACGTCTTTATGCATTTGCAACATACTCAACAGATTTCCCTCATTGATTTAAATGCACGTGTTGTAGCCTCAGTTTGCTGGTTATACTCTGAGCACTTTGCCTAAATTTTAAGTGTGCCCAGACCCATATTTGTTTAACGTTATAAAACCAGCACGGAGACTTCAAATAACTTGGGATCAATAAAACAAATTACTTCGATGAACTTGAAGACAACAATGTCTCTCATATCTTGAAAAATTCACAAACCACTGCAACATACTAATTAAAACTTTCGTAAAACTTTTATTAAAACAATCAAGAGCCCTCAAAAGTGCACTCTGGGAATATTACAACAATTAAAAGCAGCTTTTCAAAATAAGCTCAAAAGGATACTTTGGCGTTGGAGAAATGAACAGTTAGATAATTACTCAAAAAAGAGGGGAACATGTACCGTTTTACCACTTTAATCAGTTAACGACCATATAAACTAGGATTTTCAGCATCCACTATGCAGTACTTTGTGCCATGGGACTTAAAACTTTTACTCTTTAGTTTGATTAACAAATCAGTACCTTCATATTATTGTTCCCTTTGGTCACTTAGAAATTTATAAGCTTTTCTGATACCTTACCTTTTAGGCCAACTTTGCAATGGTAAAATATTTGAGCGAATGGTGAACAAGTTATTCATCGGCTGACCTTATTAACATTGCCTTATTAAACTAAAAACAGTCCATAAAGTTCAAAGTTATACATCTGGTAAACGGTACATTAAACTACCATGCTCTTTGGAACAGAACTATCAAACACAACAAGTGATGATTTGTGAAGAATTTACTTCTCTAAAACGTGATGGTGCTTTGATATGTATAAATCAAAAGAGATAATAGTCTTAATGGGATAAAAACTGATAAAACTGCTTTAAAATAACTACCCAAAGTAAATATGTTTGATGGATAACCTCTAACTACTGAGCTTTGATAAACTTTTACGTTTCGAAGGACTATGTGCAATTGGTGGCTCGTTAGTTAAATCAGTACTTGCTGGCAGTTGAAAGTAAAAATCAGTATCCTTACCCAAGTATACTTTTTGAGTTCTAAAGATCATATCCACGTAGTTAGTTTATTTTTGTTTCATGTTTACTTGCGTGTGCTAGTCAAATGGTACACCTGATGGGCCTGATAAAAATACCCCCTATTTAACCTGTCTTTAAAAGAATTAAAAACAGATGGATATTTCGTCTAAACCATGTTAATAATCAAATTTAATGACCAGAATGTAGTTATTTGATGAACAACTACAATCTTAAGGTTCCTTTTGATAATATATTTTTACATGTTAAGAGCATTCTCACAAACTGTGATGATGTTTTAAACTCACGAAATTAGAAAGTAGCTGAAGAGGTGGGATTCGATAAGTTATAAAATTCAGTGGGATTTGTGATGGACTGCGAATCAAATTAGATGCTAACTCACCCGAATACTCATAAGTTATACGGCTATTCATATATCCAAGAGACACATGCTCTTCAAACAAAGACAACCATACTAGACCTTTCTTCATTATAATACTACAGCGTACGTTTATATCAACTTTTCCACATATTTCATATAAATCTGGTCCTAATTGAACAACTGAGTAAATGACAGAGTCGCAATAGCCGTTTTTAAAATCCACGTTTGAATGATATTGAACCTCCGGCAATGTGATTTTATCATAAATGAAAAACTCATCGGATATAGAAATGATTATTATGCTGGAACTGAAAACAATAAATAGTGATCATTAAAATCCGAACATACTTTGTCCCAAGAAATATAAGCGTCTTTTCGTTTGAAATAAAACAAAACTTTCCAACAAACATTTTACTGCCATGTAAAATATTTTCTTTACGATTTGGAGATTGATTGGTGATACAAATGTGGAAAAAGCTTATAATAAGGCCTATGATATAGTACTCATGAAGCATCCAGAACGCTTTTGACTTCAAAATGATATCATTTAGTTTGTTTTACTTGATAAGAATGTTGATTCCTTCAAGTGATGAGTATCTAGCGATAAAATATTTTAGTATTTGAACTAGTAGTACTTACCCACTTGTAAAGGTCAAAAGCCTTAGAGTATTCTAACAAGTACGAAGTCACACACAAATTAATTACAACAAGGTTAAAACAAGGTTATCACCAAAACAGTTTTTTCTGCTATGCTGTGTCCATTCGGTTAAACAGATATGAGTTGTAACTGCCATACAGTGATCCCTTTACGTCTGGTTTGAAGAAAGATTCGGCTAATGATATAAGTATACGAACTTGCATCGTTTGGCTTTCGCAGGATTATTTTCTTTTTTAAAGGATGATTGGGTTCCACTAGACATTCCAAAGAGTCAGCGGTTTGTATTAACTGAACCCCGTAAATTTGCTAAGCAAATTATCACAAAAAGATTTATTGCAAACTCTTTCTACAACTCTCAGTGGTGCGTACTGCGAAAAAATCGGTTTAGAATTAAAAACTCCAAATTAGATAACGCTACTTGTTTCCAATCAAAGTACAGTCCAACTAAATCTTAAAACACCTAAAAAGAGTGACAAAGTGAAATAAAAATTAATCTGGTTATTTTTATTGAAGTCGGGGTTCAACTACATCCAAGCAAGCATGTCCATACGTGTCTTTGCCCCTCAATACCTCTTCAATTCTGAAAGGCTTTAATCTCATAGCGCTCAGACCAACAGCAATCATTGGACAAAGCACTATTAACTAAGCCTAATTACCTGTCGTTTTATCCTTTTGATATCCCATTAACTAGATAAACGCAGTTTAAGTAGGTCTGAAAAACTCGGAGTCCGAGTAAAAGGAAACTAAAACTAGCAACTCAGTCGTGGTAAGGAATGAACAAATAAGTATATATGTCACTAGCAATCACATTCAACAGACAATTTAATCGACAATGGCGAAATAACGATCTCGAAGATATTGCGATAATACTAAACACCTACACGAAAACTACGAACATTTTATCCATGTCGATAATATGACAAAGTTCAACAAGGAACCAGCGGGACATAAAATTATGCATTGGGCACATGTAGAGAAATATAGTGGTCAAACTATAACCATAGTCTTGTAGTGACTCACGTTTATCACGAGAACACGACTGGTTTAATAAAAACAATTATTATTATAACCAACTGTACCAGTGTTTGTTTTAACGTGCTTTTGTTTGACTGTGCTAATGACAGCTATTTTTCTGCTTCCATTCTTTCGCTTACACTTCGATTGTAACTTCGCGCGAATTCGGTTACGTTCTGTAACCAAGCTTGTATTCTGGCACGATCTCGGTATCCTTTCGATGCCACGAGATCGCCAGTAAATAAACCTCGACTTGGTCCATTAACTGTCTTCTGATATTTGGCTTCTCGGGGATTTTATGGATCTATTTGGTTACGTCCAACCCTCGCCTTCTGATTTATCTGGCACGTGTTTCCTGGTAGCGGTGTTCATAGTTAATCTCAACTCGACGCCACGCTACAATTGGTAATCCCAATTTGATACAATTGGTGGGCTGTATTTTGGAACACGCCTCAACTTCTGATCAAATCTTCCAAAGAAGCCAATTCGGTGAGTCTATGATTTATCTATCCACGTCTGTCGTATATTTTCATATTTTTTAATATATAATATACGCGACATGACGGATAACGATAAGAATAGTATTAATATAATAGACTCACACGTATGTGTACCGAACCCTTGTCACTTTTTATTCGCGTGATGATGAATTCCACGCTTTATTCGAGAAATGTTACCCTATTAACGATTCTCCTCGCTGACCCGGCTGCTTGGTACGGAATGCATACGCATAAGCATATCCGTCTACCACCCAGCACCAAATGGTTAAGTTGAACGGTTTCACTGCCAACTTAAAAGTGTTCTACGAGCACACGAAAACGGCAACTGGCACGAAACCATACCGCTCGTTCTTTTAGGGGCGAGAACGAGCTTAAAGGCAGATATCCAATGTTCCGCCACTGAACTTGTATACGGCACGACATTGCGTCTGCCCGGAGAATTCTTCACACCACGGAGCAGACCTAATTTCGGTAAATCAGACCACGTCCATCGACTGTCTGCATTTATGCGAACGCTGTCTCCGGTGTCAACTCGAATACAACATCGACAGGTCGCTCTCGAGAGAGAGTTATTTACCTGTTCACATGTTTTTGTACGAGTAGATTCGGTACGCAAACCTTGGCAAAAACCTTACGAAGGCCCTTTTCACGTGATCGCTCGTCACGAAAAGACCTTCAAGGTTGATCGATATGGACGCGTCGAGATCGTCAGCATTGATCGTCTCAAACCAGCACACGTCGATGACAGTGCCCTATCTGACACCCTGAGATTCAATGCTAGACCTATCAAACCTAGCGGGATCCTTAGATCATCTTCAGGTCCCACGCTAGATGCATCTGAGACCTCATTCTCACGTCCCAGTCAACAGCACGCGTCATCTGCACCGTCTACGGACGAGACGACAGTCTCACGTCCAGATCAGCAGACCACGCCGCCCTTGACTTCGGATGAGATTGCAGGCTCACGCGACGCGAACGAGACTGCCGTCTCACGTTCCGGTCGCCGAGTACGGTTACCCGTACGCTTCCGCGAATAGTCGCACAGTCAACTACCGATACGGTGTAGGATTATTCCTATACTACACGTATGCTACACTCTTCTTTTTTTGATTTTCTTTTTGTTTCCTGAGCCCACGCCTTCGACCATCTACGTTTGGTTCCGTCGACTTCAGTCAACTTTGGCGAAAGCTGGATTGGCCACCCACGCTCTTGTCAACGTACTCAGTCGATATATTGGTTTCGAATGCTTGGCATATGCTTGGTCTCGAACATGGTCGTTATGGTCGCTTCTGGTCTTTTGGCTCAACGTGGTTTCGTCCTACGTCTGCAGCGTTTCTGGTACGCAGTCCTACGAACGCCCTCTTCAGATTCTGGATACAAACCACTCTGGTGTAGCATGCCAACTCGAGCAACAAATACAACACATCGCTCCTGGTACCGTTCTCCGATAACGACCTTCGTTGGCAACTCGACGATCAACGATCGCTTTCCTGTTCGCCAATTCTTCCGTCCTACAATCGCTCATCAGCCGATCAGTCCCACGATTCAAACCGCTATTTATCGAAAGTGTAAACCCTTTCTAGCGGGGGGCTCCTGTAGTGACTCACGTTTATCACGAGAACACGACTGGTTTAATAAAAACAATTATTATTATAACCAACTGTACCAGTGTTTGTTTTAACGTGCTTTTGTTTGACTGTGCTAATGACAGCTATTTTTCTGCTTCCATTCTTTCGCTTACACTTCGATTGTAACTTCGCGCGAATTCGGTTACGTTCTGTAACCAAGCTTGTATTCTGGCACGATCTCGGTATCCTTTCGATGCCACGAGATCGCCAGTAAATAAACCTCGACTTGGTCCATTAACTGTCTTCTGATATTTGGCTTCTCGGGGATTTTATGGATCTATTTGGTTACGTCCAACCCTCGCCTTCTGATTTATCTGGCACGTGTTTCCTGGTAGCGGTGTTCACAGTTAATCTCAACTCGACGCCACGCTACAGTCTCACGAAGCACTTTTTCATCTTTACATCACATATGTTATTTCGTAACTAGGAAATTATCTGCTCATTACTAGTGAAAAGGTCGAGGGTAGAAAAATATGGCGAATGAGAATTGGACTAGCTGCATAGTTAACTATTTTATGTTGTGCCTAAATCTATCATAATGACACAATACGACTCCATATTGCATGCCTGATGGTGTGGCTGCTCAGTTTTCCTGGTTACAGCGCATACTGGTGTCTTAAATCGATCGCCGTACCATTAGATAAACGAGTGTCAACGTGCATGGGTCTTGACTTCATTTGAGCACTTTCTGATTTATGACTGTGATCAAATGACGCGCTAATATATATATTGCTGACAAAGCGAGTACATGCCATTTTTCAAGCCTAATGATTTGCAGTATTGGATTGTAAATTTGATGCTCGCCATGTAGGGTTGATAAACAGAAAAAATCAATTAAAATAAAGGGCAGCACATTCGTGCAGATGTTCCAGGAAGTTAATAATCCGGTTTGTTTTATGATACTGTACTACGAGATAAGCATCAAGTCTACGTTGTGATCATCGAAAATGCTCAGCGGGTCCAGATTCCGAACTTTCGTTTTACAATTCGAATTCTATCAAGTATTTTTTGCGGTACAACTATCTAAGAAATTGACAGTTTTAAAGAGAGCAAGAGCAAAAATTGGTGCAGAATAATATGAATTCATTTTATTTCGTTAGGTTCTCATCATTATTGCAACTCTTTCTGAAATATAAATTACATCATACATAACTGATTGATTTCAATTCATATTTTCTTTATTACCATTAATCAATTTTCATGAGTTCTAATCACTATTTCAATGTTCTGGAACTTTCCCTCTCAAACTTTATTTATTTATTCGAACCAAACATTTTATGAGCTCATTAACTCTATCTGAATATTCGCTACATCATCATACACATGTATTGATCCTTAATCACACTATTATGTGTAAATATGTCAATATCTGTATTAATGTTGGATTTTAAATAATTTAGGTTGTAAGCAGCTGATGAGAACCTAACGAAATAAAATGAATTCATATTATTCTGCACCAATTTTTGTTCTTGCTCTCTTTAAAATAATAAAGGGAACTATGTGTATGAAATTTACAGTTGTTGTAAAGTAAATATGTGGAGCGCCTGGCATAGGATGTAGTTCCGAAAAAGGTGTTCTTGAAGTTTGTTTCAGATGTAAGAAGTTCCATAGCCGTTCACTGAGAGCGTGATGCTGAAGAAAGAAAATAGGAGCTGTAAGTTATTTTCACCTAAACCCTAAACAATGTTTAACGGTTTGCAGTTGAAAAGACACACTTATGGCAAATTAGTAGATAAAACTTACAAGCTACCTTTAGTCGTACTTGATGGAGTTGCTCCATCTATCCGACTTCTAACAATCAGACTTCCAAGGTAGAGGTAGCTGTGCTTGATGACCGATTTGGCTAGAGTTTACCGAACTTTTATTAACCAAATGGGGTCACCATATTGTAGCCTAGATTTTCACCTAACTAGTGATGAAAATCAGATCATAATGATGGTTTTTTGATGCAAATAATGATGACCTGAAAGCAATTAAACGACTGATTTGTCCCAAAGCGTCCATGATATCACAAAAGTGACGTTGAATTGACAAGTTAACACGACAGAACCATACAATAAACTCTTTCGGAATGACGGGCTATCACATTTTCACAACTGGGTCTCAATTAGCCGAAAGCGAAACTGAATAATATCCCTTGCTAAACGAATAGGAAGATTCTGTAGTCACGAGGTCGTAGATAACGAACTAGGAATCCATAAAAAAATACTTATCGAAAAAGAGCATCCTCCGATATTTACTGACAATTGAAACCACAGTTAAAACAAATAACCTCGTAAGCAGTGACAACACCTTATATGGACATCGGTTTTAAAGGTGATCTGGTACAGATGTACTAAAGAGTAGAACTTAAGATTCCTTTAAAAGAATGTCATCAACAACATCTTTGTGATGTGTTCTCAAGCTGGTCAGCGCTAACCAATAACCTTAAGGATAAACTGTCTCATTTGAACAACTCCGTATGCGTTTGTCAATTTATCCTTTCATATGGAGTCAGGAATATCGGTGGATTGACACGTACTTAGTCCAAAAGGATCAGAGAACATCATCATGTTTGGCTTAGAGAAGACGAAAACGTCTCAATAACAAGCCTCGTTATCTCTCTTTTCTCTCTCACTTTTCTTTCTTCAAAAATATCTGTTTTCCTCCCATCTTCACCACTGACCATTTACTCCCAAGTATTTTTCGTTTTTCTGTTACGATGATCCGAATGGTTATAGTTAATCTCAACTCCAAAATCTTGTCTAATCAAGCTGAGTCGATGACACTTTCACTATTTACCAGCATGATGAATGGTCGAGCTCTTGACAACAAAACTATTATTAGTTTCTCTGATAAAATATAGTTTATACTTTTGCTTAGTTTATTCCGTTATTTAACAGAATTTTTTGAACATCATTATTGCTAACATTATCATCTTGAAGAATAATTCTGTACTTGCAATTGCATAGCTTTGAAAATAAAATTGGTGAAAAAAGAACTCTTCGCTGAACCGACTTTTACTATGTTAGATTTTTTGGAATCGTTCAATGTTTTATTTAGTTACTCTAAGGATTAAGTAGAACTATGGAAAATATGAACGAGGACAATATTTATTCTCAGAAGAAGTCTATGGTAAGCAATCTCATAGCTTGAATGCACGTAGTTTTAATTATCAGGGATGTACGCCGATTCATATATATGATTGGTTTGATGAAGTTAATGTTCTCCATTTTATTTAGCTTTACACGACTGAGTCCCTTAGGCCGTCATATCTCTCTATAATACTATTGTAAGTGGGAATACATTTTTATGTCCAAATTATATAGTTGATAGCTACACTCCCTTCTTTGTATCTTTTCTTCATAATCTCGAAGACGAAGTTGTTAGGTTCAAAAATGAATACAATTTATTTAGGCAAATGTTCTTTAAACAACTTGTGGCTTCCGACTGGGTTTTAATTCTAGCTTATATATTCAGATGACTTATATTGTTGATATAGCTCGACGTTATGGTTCTCAGTACATCTGTACGAAATTTGAATTTGTGAAGGCTTATGGGTAGATCAAGGTCAGATGGAGTTTTCCTGTGTTTCTGAGATAGAACATTGCTTAGGAGGAATAAAACAGTTCTTGAGGTGCCCCATATGGTGAGTTACTCAACGAAATAAGTTATATTGAGATAGTTTGGATGATGTTCAGACCCCTGTTGTAACACCATGCTCTCATATTTACTGCAAGTTTTGTATGGATAAGCATTTTGAGAAGAAAAGAAGTGCCAGCTGCCCGCTTTGTAACAAGAATCTTTCTTCCAGGTGATATTTTGTCTCTTACTTTACTTTCCAGGTCTTTAAAGAGTTCGAGCAAAGTTGTAACTGTAATCGACTTATGCAAGAAAGTTATATCGACTTATGAATCTGAAGCAAAAACTAAACGTTGGTTGTGTGATTTTGCTGTTTATCTCTTTTAGTTGTCTCACGAGACCTTGTAGGTAGCTTGCATCTCAGTCAGGAGCTGACACAGGTAGCACTATATTTGTATTAGGTAATACTTTGACCACTAGGTGGATGTAACTGCTTCATGTGTCTTACCAAGTAGTAGAAACTCTGAAGATTTTCAAGTCAGCGGTGAGGAGTCGCGCCCTCGACCTCGCAATCGCATTCTTTTGGGTACCACCGCACGCACACAACGGACAAAGCAAATGAACAAGCAGCGCAGTGCTTTACCCTTTGAAGAGGTTCTTACACAGCCAATGCGCAGTTTGTGTGCCTCTACCGAAGTAAAAGAGCTTAGTTTGCCGAAACAAGATGTAGAGAACCATGATGCGTTCCTCGATATATTTAGTCTTACACAACAAACTCAACCGATGATAGATTCATTCGATAGTGGTTCATTGTTTGCACCAGTTGAAGGTATGGGTCATACAGACTTTTCAGACAATACTCGTGTAGGTCACACTACTCAAAAAAATGAATCAAAACCTATATCAAAATTACTTCGGAAAACTTCGAAAAGGATTAAGCGTGCTGCATGTTTGCCGCCTCTCCCACCAGTCACGCGAACTACCGTTTTGACGCGTAACAGTCCAGAAGCTGTTTCTCACAGTTCTCTTCCTTCACATAACTCTGTGTCACTGAAAAGGTCATCTGATTCACCGTTCGCGAATGGGAAAAACAGTAAACAATGTCGAAGAGAATCGAATTGTTCTGTTTTGTCTGGTCAGGGGTTGGTTACGAAAACGCACGAGGTTTTGTGTCATGTACAACCGTCAGAAAACGTATGTATCAACACTAAGAGCTTCAACAGTCTCTTCAACCATGAGGAAACCAAAAGTAAGTTGGATATAGAACCAATTGTTCCCCATAAACCATCGTCAGCTTGCAACCCAAAGAAACGTTCTCACTCGTTCAGTGGGTCTTTGTCTCATACTTCGTCAGTACTAGTTGGCAAACGCTTGCTTCAAAAGTATCGTAGTAGACCTCACCGTCTGTCAACGACTCAGCATAGTGTTTCTACCAAAAGCCCGGGTTGGTCTCGTTGGCGTCAAATGTGTCGCGAACTGAGACGTCGAAGTTCATCATTGCGAATAACATTTCATAGGTCATCTAGTTTGGTTGGTAAAGTTGGATCAAAAGCTTCTGAACCACACGAAAGTCGCAAAATACGTACTATTAGAGATTTTTCTAGACGTTCCTCCCTTTCCAGTCTCGGCATTTCTTTGCCTAAATTGGGACGTAGTGTTAATCGGAGCAGACGTAGGACCAGTGAGAAAACAGTTGAAACTCCTTTGCCTCATGGTAAGCAAGAAGATATATCCGATATTTCACTTAATATCGTCCAAGAACACAGTACAACATCAAACAAATCTCAAAATGGTTTCAGTCCAGTATCGCGTATAACAAAAACGGATTGCCCTAAAGAAACGTGTCATTTTATTATGCCATTGCGACGTCTGATTTCTCGTGACTACTTTCATTCGAAGTCACTACGCTCTCGTCTTCGTTCTTCTCTGCGTCAAAATGAAGCTGCTGTTTCTCCCATCATTCAGGTCAAGTCACCACATGGTTACTCTGCTTATAAATGTGATTTGGACTCTCCTGAACCTCGTGGACAGCTTAACGGGTCTAACATCTCTAACACATTATTCAGCAGTGGATTCCTGTGAAATTTATTGTCAGCCTTTACATTGTAGTGCTTGTGGGGAGACGCTAGTATTACATACAGATATCAATAGTGCAAATATGATATCGCCAGGACCACAGTTTCCGGAATTGCTACTCCGTCCACCTGTTTCCATTCTCTCGAGCTCCATGTCTTCCTCATATTGGCAGGCTGAAGACCCAGGAGATACAATCTTTACGGATGCTCATCTAGATGCTCTGGTTGAGGTGAATCGCCGTTACATATCAGAATCTGATGGAGATTGTAATCTAAAGCATTCTAGTGTATCTCTTCCCAGAAATTCATATAGATCGTATCTCCAAACCGATTCGGTTAGTTTACTTTTAAACAGTTGAACAGGCATTTTGTTTATAAGAAACATCCTATAGACCTTTAAGCATATATTCTGAATGAATTTGGGTTTAAAATATAAATAGACCATGAAGGACTTAATTCTTACTCTTGTGAGAATACAGTATGTCTGGTTATTTTCAGCATTCATCTTCAAGACAGTTTCTACCAGAGTGCTTCTGCACTAAGGACTTTGCACATTGTGATCCTTATGAGTGTTTAGTCTCTCAGATGAAGCATCTCATGGACTTCGGGTGCGGAGATAAAGGGGCTAACAAAATACCATCTCTTGAATGCTTTGGATAACAGTAATAGAGTGCTTAGGATGTGTTTGTCATTCTCTAAGTGTAAAATGTTGCTTCAGTGCCTATCCACACCAGTTTCTAGTCTGGTCACCATTAAATTGAACGCGTTGAGTATTTAACTTGTGATCTCAATCCTATCTTCCTCTGAGCTTAATCGACTGATGACATCTTTTTAAAGATAAAGCTCACTTAACCTGCTTCCCGTAACATATACAAACTACAATTACTTATCAAAGAACTAATATACTACGGAGCAGTTCGCTCCAAATTACTTTAAGACTGTGAAATATAGCTTGTAAAGTTAGGGCGGACGTACGAGTTACAAATATCTAGTAAATAACTTCAAACAAAGCCATACAATAGTCAGCATTGCTATTAGTGTAGACTGATTTGGTTGTGAACTCGCATAGATTTGAGTGACCGATCTGTTTCCTTTGTTACTGTATGAGCTCTACATGATAACCGCCTAATTTGTTAGTAGTACATAAATCCTTAAAAGCTACTTTTTGTCCAACTTTATGTGTAATTCTTATCTCTAAATATTTCTTGTATTTTTAAATACTTAAGTGCCGTTAATATTTTCTAAAACTAAACCATTTAAAATTTACTTGTAATTTTTGTAGAGAGACAATGCTCTTAGTCATTGTGAAATCCAATCTGGTATCAAGGTTCCAAATTTAGTTGAACCATCATTAAAACCTTACAACTCACCTACACTACCGTCAAATAGTTCTTACAGTAATGCTCAACCAAATAGAACTGATGAGTCGGAAGAAATACATGGTGAAAACATAGCGAACAGTGAATCTCCAACCGAGCAGCACAATGATTTCTCTAGGTTTCCTGATCATTCTACCTTTTCCACTTTTCAAGGTAGCAGTAGTGAGATTATGCCAACCGTGGTGAGTTTATTTAGTATTTCGAAGTTATTATTTTTAATTCGGTTTTGTTTACTACCTAGTATTTTATTTTACTATGTAAATTTAATCTAGTTTATGCTAAACTAGTGAACTTGTATTTATCTGAATTACCTAAACCAAAGAATATCTAAACCTTTTCGCGGTGTAATATGATAATAATGATCTTAGTTGTAAACTTACTAATGAATAGTTTTGAAACACGTTATAAAGTCAGGTACTGGAAGTTTTCATCTCAAGATTACCTACCGTTATACACGTTGACAATATCTATTACTATTGATATAGTTGGTCCAAAAATTATTTCGAAGTACTAAGCCATTTTGTTTTACAATATGCTCAGTATATTTCGAGTCATTTTTCGTTTCGCTCCTGGAAATATTTGTCCAAATTGTTTGGTAATTTTGTTGATGTTTGGTAGAGAAGGCAATAGAAGAAACACGGGCTTAATTATAGATTGACAAATAAAAACATATTTTATTTCAAAGCACTCCCTTATCACTTCCAGTTTTATCCAGGTTCGTAACTGATTTGGGAATGTTTGACACTTGTTGCTATATTACCGTTCTCACCAACAAGTTGCGTTTACGTTTTTGTTTTAGATCTAACTTTCAGAGAACGAGTGAACTTTTGTACGAGTACTGTGTATTCTACTAGCCTTGTAAAGTAGTGATATTAAGTGATTTTTGAACCCTATGGCTATTAGTTGAAAGACAAGTGATTGAGTCATCGAGTCGCAACACTACGCATAAGGCAGGAAATACTGAAAAAAATTAATTAAAAAACCCCATATAATTCTATTTCAGCGATACTTCACAGATGTATTTTGGCAAAATTATTTAATTATATGTAATTTTGTTGCTATTCGTTCCGATTGTCTAGAAACTCACGATACATATTTTTGGCAATTTTAGTGAACTTTTGACACAAACTATTCTAATCGATATCCCAGAAAAATTGCTAGTAATCCTATTTAACTTAATCGTGGTATGTTTGATTATTTTAGGATCGTGAGCGTTTGCGTCACGAATGTGAAGAGTTGGAAGCTGTAGTCGCAGCTTTACAGAAGCAGTTGGAGGCTCAAGCTGATGAACTCAGTCCTGAATCAACTGCTGCGATCCTTAAATCAGCCTGTACAGAACCTTTAGATGATGCTCCTGTTGGTGTAACATCATTTACAGAATGTGTTCCACAGCAGACTCACAATGAAATACGAATGTTTCCTGGTAGTGATGTAAAGCATGCCATAGTAAGCGTCGAAAAGCTTCAAACTCATGAACCAATGGCCATTCAGTCGTCCCCAAGATTGTCTCAGGTTAAGAACTTTATTTACTTTGCTAGTTTCTTTTAACCATAGTGTTTTCACCAAGTCTATTCGTGTTCTGTTTGACTTGTGAAATACATACAATCAGATCGTATCGTAGTTGGGTGATACAGCAGGTGTAGTACAAAATCCTAAACGATTTCGCCGCTTCCCACGTATTCTAACTTTTTGGAACATGGATAATTTAGAGAAAAAACAATTGTTATAACTAGTGAACGAAATGGTGGCTTAGTGATTACGATGTCCGACTTTCAGCCCTCAAGTCCCACGTTCAAATCCTGTCCCTGCTATAGCTTTTCTACAATTAAGTTTGTCTACGGTTGATTCTGTCAAGTCCTTCAACTAACTTATTCAACAGGCACTGTTATTCGAACAGTAACAATCTGTCTATTTCTTCGTATGATTATTATTGTTACCATCATCTCAATGTGTCATGTATGCTTGGTCACGTGTGACGGCGTACGCATTTATTCTTCACTTCTTCGCCGCTTAAATATTGCTTGGTGAATCATTCACTTTCCCATATATATGAGCTTGAACTTTATCAGTTGATTCGATTCGATTTGACTCTGAATCCGCCTCTGCATTCGCTTGCTCGCGCACACTAGCCTTTCTGCTCAAATTCGCTTTATGTGTTTGTAACTTTGTTATTTGCGCTATCCAATAATAAACTGTAGTTGGTGCTTTGTGTTTGCTTGTGAATTTATACACCGTTGGGATTTATTTGATAACGGACATCAGGGTGATTGGTAAACGAAGCTTAAGGAATTATCTCGAAGTCAAGCTATTACACCTCTACTTCGGTTTAGGCAAGCCATACAGTATCATCAGACCACAGTGTGGTTCATACCCATGTAACTTGGTTATTGGGTTTGAGTAAACGTAGAAATATTGTTTAAGTGTTTAAATGCTTGCACCTCATATAGTTCTGACGCTAATTGTTAACAAAAGACCAATAATAATTTACGCGTTTCGTGTGCTATTCTATTGTTTCTTTTTTATGTTTCGGTTTTCCGACTATGATCTGTTGTCAAGTAACAGTAGTTTAGTTTGAATTTTCACCAACCCCTCTAGCTCAACTTGGTTGTATAAACATTGTTTTTGAATTGTTCAGAAGTCCCATTCCTTGGGAAGATTCTATATTTGGATCAGGAAATTCATTTTTGTTATTTTAGTTCAATATGAATTTTTCATAATTTTTTGATATCTAAATGTACATGATTCTGGTCAGAAGTCTTTTGATATTTTTTATGTTCATAATTTAGGTTTTAGAAACTTGTGCTTCCGAAACGGTTGATATTATTCCATCCTCTCAAACAGAAGAGGAACCAGAAAATTATCATATCGATGTAATGGATCCACCTATTATTTCTCAGCCTACGGTAGCAAGTTCTAAGCCTGGGCAGTCAAACCAAAATGAATGGAGAAATGTAACCAGTCCTCTGAATAATTCTATTTGTGACTTCATTCCTGGTTCATTATCCGCATCTACACAGAATATTCGTGATCCCATTTCATCAACTCAAAATCCAATGAGTAATATTACCCAGTGCCCAGAAACAAACTGGAGTTCATGTAACACACTCGTAGATGAAAACTGGCCCCCAAAGTTTTCTGATAAATGTCAGCGAAATATTGCTGTTACGGGTTCCAATTTATCGCCTTCTGATACTGTACGTTTTTAATAATTGTCTCTTATTTTCCTTATTTTTTTCTGAAGAACTGTGTATGTAACTTTGAAGGGATAACTAATATTGTCTTTTTCAATGTGTATAAGCTTTGTGTGTTATTCATATAAATGCTCGACGTGAACACAATCATTTGTCAAAAATGCTAGTTTCTAACAGTCTGCGAAACTCACCACCAAAGTTCATTACTTGTAGAATTTCAGCATACCGTCCGCTCATATTTTATTTGACTAGTCTTTGTTAACCTGTTTCAACATTCCTAATCTTATCGTTTTAGATTACACCATAGCATGTGATTTAATCAACCTTTTTAATACAAAAGAATCTTGGTATTACTTATATAATTAACAGCTTGTTAACATACATAGCACCTGAGTCGTCGCATACTTGGATAGTCTCGTAAACTTCTAAGTGGCAGTTCTTCCATTAGCGATGGAATAGTGCTTGACTGTATAGTTCTTAACTAGGTTCGATGAAGATTTGTAGTATATATGTTTATTCCAATTAAGTTGTAGCTTGATTATTATTTCGGGATGAACTGGTATCTTCAATCCTCATACTTATAAATGATGCTGGAAGCAACGACATCATTGCTAAGTTTCGTAAAATTATTTTGTCTAATTCAATTTAGTAATATCTAATTTATACGTCTAATTAAAGTGAAATAATTTTTCGAATTTTTGATATAGAAAGTAACTCAGTTTCATGATTCTTGATTTAATCTCCAGATTGATAAACTAGTGTATATCGTCTTACTTTTCAGACCATTTAAATCGTATCACTACTGTGTTTATAAATTTATTTCCCATTTGTTATGATCATGTTGTCAGGTGACATTTTCTTCTTTATTCACATTGAAATACATCTCATACTCATTCTTTCCTGATTTGTATTTATATGTATGCAGTTAGTTAGCTAATGGTTGTCTTTTGAACTAGACTCGGTTGAAAGTTTTGGACCTGTTACATGAATAAATCTTTTGTTTGACTACCTTAATTATTTTAGTGTTTTATTAAACATTTCGTCAAAATAAAAAGATACTGGATTGGAATAAGTACTAAAAGGTTTCATTAATAGAAATACCGAGATTATAAAACTCATAGGAGTGTATAAATATGATTATTTCTTTATCATTAAGTACAGTTATTCCAATTACGTTGTGTTTTACATTTCTGAACTATTTTTATATTTAGGCTTTACTGCGTAAATTTTGTTTACAATTCAGTGTTTCGGAACACAGTCGTTTCATTCCTCAAAAGACAACTCATGTAGTAATTAAAGAAGAAGCAGGTAAGTAATATTACTTGACAAGATACTTCCAGTGCTATTTTAATGCAATATGTTTAATTGTTTTCAAAGAATTTTTTTAATATTGATTTTATCAAATAAAGAAATGGTTGGTTAACTCTGATGAGATAAAAGTAGAAAACCTTTTCCTTGCTTTCAGTAGTATACAATTGTATTACCATAGAATTTAATAGCATTCTTAAAACTTATTTAGCTAGCCAAATTGATAACCAAATATGTCCCTATTGAATCATGACCAAATAATTGGATTCGAGAAAATTTGACAACTTTCCTTGATACGTAGAATGACCCAATATTAAAGCAAACGGAACAGAAAGGATTGGACTAATTTAAGCTTGGTCATCATGTTTTATGCATATCGAATAAATACCACCTGTAATGTTACTAAACAAATATTATTTTTGTGTGACAGCCTCATAACAAACTATGAAATTGCACTCACCTCAGTGATGAATTTTGTTGTTGTGTTAAAGAAAGCAAACGAATTATTTTTAGTTGTTTTTGCTTACAGTGTTAAGAAAAACAGTTCTACAAATTCCAGCATTTCGCGTTAGTACCGCCTGACTGACAATCTGCTTACATACGTCTTAAAATTGCTTAACTCTTGACCTTATTTATTTCCACTTTTCAGTACCATTTCTATTATATCCTTGTGACACTCATTGTGTACACTAATATTGTTTGTACTATTTTTGTCAGGTTTACTAATTTAGAAATTGAATAACAAAACAATTTAGCGAAGGATTCTTTTTAAATGGTTTCATTTTCAAAGCTGTAAAACGCATATATATATATATATATATATATATATATATATATATATATATATATATATATACTATTGTATAGTTTGAGAATACAGACTGAAAAGAAGGACTTCTGATCACAATACCAAAGAAAGGCGATCTCAGCAAGTGTGATAACTACAGGGGCATCACTCTTCTCTCAATACCGGGAAAAGTCTTCAACAGGGTATTGTTAAACAGAATGAAGGACTCCGTATACGCCGAACTTCGAGACCAACAGGCTGGATTCTGTAAGGATCGGTCGTGTACAGACCAAATCGCAACTCTACGGATCATTGTAGAGCAATCAGTTGAATGGAATTCATCACTCTACATCAACTTCATTGACTACAAGAAAGCATTTGATAGTGTGGACAAAACAACACTATGGGAGCTTCTTCGACACTACGGCGTGCCTCAGAAGATAGTCAATATCATACAGAATTCATGTGATAGATTAAACTGCAAAGTCGTGCATGGAGGACAGTTGACAAAGTCGTTCGAAGTGAAGACTGGTGTTAGGCAAGGTTGCTTACTCTCACCCTTTCCCTTTCTCCTGGTGATCGACTGGATCATGAAGACGTCAACATCTGAAGGAAAACGCGGGATACAGTGGACATCTAGGATGCAGTTGAACGATCTAGACTTCGCAAATGATCTGGTCCTCCTACCGCAAACGCAACAAAAAATGCAGGAGAAGACGACCAGTGTGGCAGCAGCCTCAGCAGCAGTAGGTCTCAATATACACAAAGGGAAAAGCAAGATTCTCCGATACAACACAGCATGCACCAATCCAGTCACAATTGACGGAGAAGATTTGGAAGATGTAAAAACCTTTACATATTTGGGCAGCATCATTGATAAACAGGGTGGATCCGATGCAGACGTAAAGGCGCGGATCGGTAAAGCAAGAGCAGCATATTTACAACTGAAGAACATCTGGAACTCAAAGCAACTGTCAACCAACACCAAGGTCAGGATTTTCAATACAAATGTCAAGACAGTTCTACTGTATGGGGCGAAAACCTGGAGAACTACTAAAGCCATCATCCAGAAGATTCAGGTGTTTATTAACAGTTGTCTACGCAAAATACTTCGGATCCGTCGGCCGGACATTATTAGCAACAACCTACTGTGGGAAAGATCAAACCAGATCTCAGGGGAGGACGCAATCAGGAAGAAGCGCTGGAAGTGGATAGGACACACATTGAGGAAAGCGCCGAACTGTGTCACAAGGCAAGCCCCCACGTGGAATCCTGAAGGCTAAAGGAAAAGAGTAAGACCGAAGAACACATTACGTCGAGAAATGGAGACAGACATGAGAAGAACGAACAACAATTGGATCAAACTAGAAAGGAAGGCCAGTGACAGAGTGGGATAGAGAATGCTGGTCGGCGGCCTATGCTCCATTGGGAGTAACAAGCATAAGTAATAGTTTGAAAATGAATTGATTGAATTAATTGTTATACTACCAAATGATTTTCTTTTTCTGTATTATGAAATTTGCGATCTAGGTCGTCCTCGTGTAGTTAAACGAACTCTAAAATACTTTATGGGTATTCTTAATCGAGCATGGATTGTAAATACTGATTGGGTTCGTGAATGCGTGACATCCAAAAGACTTCTGGATGAGGTAATTTTGGTTGTACTCTTATGGTTTTTGAAAGTCCCTATTAGTTCTTCGCCTCACTCAATCATTTCTACACAGTTTCATAGAACACTTAATAATGTGTTGATGTAGAGATTTTGTGGCGATTGATTTAATTTCTAGTTCGTCAGTTTGTAAGGAATGCCACCTCATTAGTTTATTGAATAAATCAGGTAAAAGTCGCTTAGTGTTAGAGTAGATGGTCTGCTTCTCTGTTTTGTAAGTTCTGTAGACAGATAATACTGATGGACCATGTGTTGTTAAATTCGATATTTGTGAAAACTTACGCATAGCTTAACGTATCTCTATGATAAATTGAATCTATGAGTGAATTTTTCATAAAGCAGTAGTCGTATATAACTGTCTCTTAAATATGGTATACTTCAGAGTTAACTGAACAAACCAGGATCCACTTTTAAGTACTCTTAGGTACTGATGATCAGATGTTCTTGATTCGATTCATAAAATTTTAAATTAAGTTTGCTTACTGACACTGCTGGATGAATGTGAACTATTCTGTGATAATTGAAATAATCAAAAACACGGAATTCAGAGAAGATATTTGTTCTCAATGAAATTACTATTATTCGGTATGCATATATACATGGATCGACAACAAATTCATTAAAAACAGATCCTCTCGTTAAATTTTATGTTTTTTTTATGTCAAAATACAAATTATAAGTGATTAAGATAATATATTTACGTTTTCTTTTTTACCACAATCATTTACTTTTACCAATCTTCAACCATATTTAGATTTAAGTGTGAACTGCTGCGCAGTATACTCGTCCCTTAATTAATAGATGGATATCTCTCCTTCGCCATAGGTGACGTAAGTTGGTAAAAGTCAAACGAGTTTTTTGAATCCGTGCAGAGATTTCATCAGACACCAACCCATTTGGTCTGATCAGACTTCCAAGATAAGTGAAGTTGTCGACGCGCTCGACTATCTCACTCCCTATCCTTAGTTCAGGTGTTGACGCAGACCAGTCCTGAAGCAATAACTTGCATTTAGAGGGAGAGAAGCGCATTCCAAACATTCTGGCATTGTTGCTTAGTGCTACCAAAAGACTCTGCATTTTGTCAGCGTCTTCACCAAACAGGACTATGTCATCTGCGTATTCTAAGTCGATTAGTGGACCTCCTGGATGGAGATCAATACCCGAGAATTCAGTCGACGAGAAAGTTATTTCCATCAGTAGATCTATGATGAAGTTAAACAAAAATGGGGAAAGTGGACAGCCTTGACGGACACCACTTGAGGTTGCAAAAGTAGATGACAGTTCGCCATAAGCTCTGACTCGACTAGTAGTGTTCGAGTAAAGAGCCTTCATAAGGTTTATGTACTTCTGGGGTACGCCTTTCAATGACAGACACTGCCACATAATCTCGCGGTCTATCGAGTCAAATGCTGCTTTTAAGTCGAGAAAGACCACCATTGTCGGACGCCGATAAATATGCCTGTGTTCTAGAATCTGACGAATGGTGATTATGTGGTCGATGCAGCCACGACCAGGTCTGAAGCCAGCTTGAGTCTCTTGTGTTTGCAGTTCACGAGTCTTAGTTAGGCGTCTGATAATTATCGAGGCTAGTATTTTAGATATTATATTAGTTAAACTAATCCCTCTGTGGTTGTCACAGGATGATTTTGACCCTTTCTTATATATTGGGACGATAAGTGATTGTGACCAGTTAGATGGAATAACGTCTAACTCCCAGATCTTAGCTAAAATATTAGTCAACCTAATCTCTAAAATTGGACCACCATCCTTAAAGACCTCTGGAGCCAGTCCATCTGGACCAGCTGCCCTTCCTCGTTTCAGACTAGTTATAGCGTTTTGAACTTCAGCAAGAGTTGGGGGACCTACTTCAATGTTCCATTCACACTGTCTGGGAATGGAAGGTAGTTGTAGAGTAGCTGAAATGTTCCCTAAAATGTTCCGCCCATCGTTCTAAACGTCTGAACTGGGAGCAGATGAGAGTATCGTCTTTTTCCGATATAATCTCACTTACACTTGATTTATTAGTTTCAGTTTCTTTTATTAGTCTGTAAAGCTGTCTTGTGTTCCCTATAGTCGCCGCCTTTTCCATCTCTTTTGCTTTCGATGCCCACCACTGCTCACGGTCGTTTTTTAGACTTTTGGTTAACCCAGATCTAATTTGTTTACGCTCTTCATCGTGTTCGGAGCTTGATGCGATGAGTTTACAAGAATCCATCAGTGCAATAAACTTAGAAGAAATCCATTGGTTTTTTGTAACCCTTTGGTTTAAATCATCAATAGATGTAGCTGCTGTTTACACAGCTGTTTGTATATCTTTCCAAGCAACATCTGGGTCGCCTCGTTTTCAGAAATGATTTGGAATTTACCTTTGACCTTCTCTTTTTAATGTGACTTTTCTAGGTCCAGTGGGGCGTAAGCAAATGTGTGCTCGTATTAGAACACGATCAGAGTCTAAACATGTATTTCAGAACGAGCGACAATCTTCTATCTAACCTCTCCAACGATGACTTATGGCAATATGGTTTATTTGAGTCCATCGATGGTTTGATACGGCTGTTCGCCATGTTAGGCGATGTCTCTCATTATGCTTAAAATCAGTGCTTGTTGAAAATAATCGATTGTCTGAGCACAGTTGCAGCAGATCACCATTATCTGTTCGCTGAACCGGAATACTAAAAGGCCCACCTAAATGTCTTTCTGTTTGATTTAAGCTACCCACTTGGGCATTAAAGTCATCTGCTACGAGTACTGTCTGAGCGTTTAGCTTTATGAAGATGTTCAGAGAGGTTTCTGTAAAAGTCATCTTTCACTTCATCCGGGCTGCAGTCAGTAGGAGCGTCGGCAGAAACGACAAAAAGGCAACGACGTGTGTTCCTGTTCTTCCGAGTTCTTACGGAGCCGTTTAGCCGAACATCCCATAGACGACTGTTAACAGGGATCCGTCCCAATAGTGCTTGTTCTGTCCTCTTATTTAGTGCTGTGCCTACACCTGCCAGTCCACGAGAACTAGTAACCCGGTCTCCAGATACACGGAGGGTGTGTCTTGTCGGCTCTCTCTTTTTGCGAAGTGAAGTCAGGTGAATGAGCACACTAGGATCCTGTATGCGTGTTTCGGAGACACAGCATACATTAGTGGTACAAGATTCTAGAGTCTTAGCCAAGGAGTCCTGCTGGCCCATTTGACGTAGGGCACATACGTTGAACGCTCCAATGTGTAGTTTTAAGCGAGTTTTCAGTTGACCTGGGACAGTGTTTCGCGCACTAGAATCGTTGGCAATGGTAGCACTCTAGGAGTAAGTTTAAAGTTGGTAGTTGATGCAGGAGTCAGTCAGTCAGTCAGCTACAACGTAGGACCAGGCACATATGTGCATCGGTCCAGGTTGCCATACCTCATTAGCACAGCAAGATGAACACCGGATTCATAGGAGTGGTTAGGTCAAAGGTTGCAATAAGGATATAGTATAGGAAGAAAGAATTAGTTCGTAGAAAGAAAGATATGAAGTGATTTTAATCTCTTAGTTTAAGGGAAGACAGGGAGTGTATACACCGACGCCATTGTGATCGATTCTGAGCCATGTCACCAAGAGTCTCCAACCATTGGTTACGAAAGGAATTGAAAAGGGATTTCGACTATGAATTCGGTGGTCTCGAGTGCAATTCTAGATTTTCTAACTACTTTTATTATTTAAACAGCTTATTATTAATGTCCATATTTTCTGTTTTATTAATAATAGTCGCCATATGAGATTGAAGGAGATACAGTTTGTGGCGATTGTCATGAGGGTCCTAGACGTGGTAGACTTGGTGTACCAGCCATTCCTCAATCTCTTGACAAGTTACCTTTCCGAAATTCCTCTAGCCGACTGAATGAAGCTGAATCCAGTGATCGCCGTCCATTTTCTGAACTATGGCTCTGTGCATATCGTAATTTGGGAGCTCTACAAGTGGCTGATTTTTGTCAGTTGGCATTAGATGGAGGTGCTACACGAGTTTTCGAAAAACCTTCGGAATTAATGGATGCAACCAATAAATTGACTGAATCGCTGGGAATTACAGGGACAGATGTTCGGAAACCGCGTGCTGTAATTCTTACAGACAAAGATTCTTCTGAATTCAATCTTCAAGAGTGTCAGGGTACGTTTTTAAGAGTACTAATCTGACTATTAGCGAATGTTTGGAGAGGATTTTTGTGCATTGGGAAACTATAGCATATATTTTGCCACGACTGCTGTAATAACTGTGTACCTATGAATCCTTCATATATTAATAATTAACTGTAGAGACTTAGTAGTATCTCTTTTTTACAGAAGAATTATAGTCAATTTACTGCATTATCTAACTAGAGTCATCACATCAAATACTTTATTACCGTAATGGGTACTTTCTTGACGAGTTAGTTCTTAAAGATTGAACCGGTGAGCATATACTGAACATTGCATGCTTTACTCGTGATCTTTGAAAAACTCTATTTTCCATATCCTTGTACTGTGGATGAGGTATAGTATCTAATAAAAATAAGTCTGGATCTGTTAAAATCCGATACTGGTGCTTAATGGGGAAAATTTATGTATTCGATTCTTGAAAAGGTACTTTTGATTGAAGCTACCTGTTTTCATCAGATTACTTTAAGGTTGTTAATGTACATTTTGTTCAAGAAATCCATGAAGGAAAAGCTTTGGCTATTGATTTCTAATAGAACAGATGAATATAATCCTACTGTTCCCATCAAAAGTAATTGACTATTAACATTAATACCAAAGGACTTATAGAAATTGATTATTGAACATATTGAATAACATAAGCGTTAAGAGCCCATTCACTTTCCATTTCTAATGACACGAGGTCAATATATCTAATTGTTATCCGACGAAATGGTTATCCAGTACTTCGAATTTTTTAGCGGTTGTTTAACTTAGATATTGGTCTGTGATATAAATAAAACGAAACAATTTCCACAATCCTATACGAATAGTGTAAAATAGTTTCATCAATTACTTTTAAATATTTAATTACGATGTTTTTTGTCACTTTTGTAAGTCACATTTTACTGACCAATACGTTTGTCCTTGTTAACATTTCAGAGCTCTATCGAGTATACGGTGTGCCTGTTATAAGTATTGAATGGATGCTGAACTGTATTTCATTATATCGTCGTTTACCAATTAATCAAGCTTATCGTATATGTCCAACTCCTCAACCTGTTTCTGTATCTATTTCCAAATCTTAATTACTGTGTGTGTGTATGTGTGTACACATAAAATAATTTACCATCTTTATATTATTATCATTTTCTTCTAATTTTGTTTCTACCTTCCAATATATTTATCATAGTCAGTCATCTTTTGTGTAATATTTAATCTGTTCCCTGTTTTTCCAATTGTTTTACTCATTCTAAGTATTTGAAATGATTAAAACCAATACATTATTTAATGAGCTCTGTCAATTCATAACTTTTGGATTATTCGTAAAAATATTAATGAAAATTTTCTTCATCTCTTGCTTATATTTGATTTTACAACTATTAGTTTTCAATGTTGGACACTTTGAAAAAGCTCTTGTTGAAAATGTTATTTATATTTGTCGGGAAGAAGATATATTTGTAAATTTGTTGATTATATATATATGCCTTTTTGTTAATCAGTTATTTTTAGTGTCTACCTATTTCGGGGTTCTGTAAGTTGCTACTTATTCAATATTCACGGGGTGTGTGACTTAAGATGTACATTATCTTAAGTAAACAGGATGTGCGTGTAATGCTTATTTATATATCTAGGGTCAGACACAATGGTAGTTTCAAAGAGCAAAGTAGTTTGTACAGTAGTAGTAAATCCGTACCAGCTGATTTATCTAAGGTGCTTGTCGTACGTTCTTTAATTCTACGTACCGTTCAATAATTGGTTATTTGTAATTAGGAAACGGATGTAAGCACTCTCCATCCTGGTGATAGTGACATGCCACGAGTTTTCATTTGGTGATATATGGATCTTTTGTGTGGTACCGTGAATATAGTTGACATTGGTAAGTTTCGAAGTGATGTTATACTCTTAAAGAATCAAGTCAGTAAACCGAACATACTTGTCATATGTATTCACTCGTTTATATGATATTCTATTCATTATCGATCATCGAATATTTTTACCCATTTTCACTTTTATTTTGCTGTTTCCCCAGAGGTTAATGTTCACAATTGGTTAGTAAATCACTAATATCTACAAAGAATAAATATATATTAGTATCATACTGTCCTCGAATTCTGTCTTCATTTGTTTGGATGGTGTAAGATTTTATTTGTCGTTAATACACAGGTTCAAAGATTGGTTTATTAATCAAAATTGTAGATCAACACTCCACCTGGTCTTTCACTGTTATTTAAAACACACGACTTACTTCCCAATATTTTATTAGAAATTTAACGGGAAATTATCCATCGTGACATTTCAGTATAAGTTGATGTTTTTTTTTGAAATTTTTTAAAGTATAAAAAATGTTGATTGGCTTTTAAGTAAGTGATTTCCATCTAAACTATTTTTGGAATGGTTGGTTCCATCTATATTTCTCATCGTACACAACATTTTGGATTAGTTTGTCTTGGAGTATCACTTGATAATTTCAGTTGTGGACATCGCAAATTATAATCTTCTTGAGCGCATAGTAATCTGTAAGGATGTATACATCAATGTTAAAGTATTTTCTAAAAACTGCTCAGCTAAACATTTAACAAAAAAAGTTTCATAGTTTTAGTTATTCTGAGGCAAATGATCAAGTTATTGTGGAATTAGTCTATTCATAACGTATAACACTATGCTTGATTGTATTTTCTGTTTAGAAGTAAATCTTTTCAGCTGGTTTCTACACTTAACACAGTAATCCTAAATGACGATTCATTCTTCCACTTTGAGCTACATAATGTCAAACGGTGAATTCATTTAGTCACTGAAGACTGGAGAATACCGGACAGATATTTCGTCCTAGTATAGAACTCCATAGCATTGCGCACTCAAAACTCCACCAGGATCTCTACGTATCAGCGAAAGCCTAACTAATTTGTGGCGAATAAACATACGGGTTGAATCTGTCTCTGCAATACCCCTTCAGCTATTGTCAGAAACTTAAAGATGCCTATTTAAGGTGAATTTCTAGATAAAATATATGCATCAACAGTGTGTTCGGAATATGTAATATCAAGTGAGAGATATCTTGAATACCCTGGACAAGTAAATTACACTTAAAAAGGATTCTGTGAAGGGTTTCACTTTACCATTCAAAACTGAGTTCGATCACAATATTTGTTAATCTTATCGTCAGTGTGCTTTTAAATAGTTAGTTTCATCTACTATACTAACGAATAAAATCGACAGATATAATCATAAAAACGCTACAGTTGGAGGGATTCGAAAACAGTCTTCGAATGAGGAATCGTCTTCGTCTGTAGTCATTTTGATCGCCTCTTGTGGATCTGATCATATAAATTGCCAAAATGCATAAGTGAACTATGTTCATTAAGGTATCAACTGTTTATTTTAGTGAATTTCACCCAGCGAAATACCTTGGATTAAATAAGACGTGATTCAGGAATGTGCATTCACTTAGGTAGCTGTTAATTAGTTGCCCTCATATGCGTCAACGATGTATCCCAGGAAATGTCACTCAATAAGTCTAATAGTTGAAACTCTCACTTTAACCGAGTGATTTGAAAAGAACGGTATACCATTAATTGAAATAACGCTAACAACAGCTGGAAACTGCTTGTCAATGAGACAATAAGTATGGAAGAATTATCGAGTAGTGAAGTGAACGAATATTTATGTTACTAACTGTAGAAATCCTTAAGGAGAAATTTTATTACTATATGGTGACACTTTTCTAGAGAATAAATAATAATGTCAAAGTTACATAATAATCATAGAATTTGACAGGATAACAGTAAGGTGAGTAAAGCTCAGGAAAATTCAAGATTGGAAATAAAATTTGTTGTTGTGACTATGATTTCAGGTATTGAGTAATTGAATAGTGAAAAAATAAAAGTAGTCAAGGAAACGAGAGATTTACAACTGCTTCTTTTTGAATACATAAATTCTTAAAATTTTTCTTATAGAATTTTCATAATTAGATATTCGTCTCCTTTACCGTTTATTGATTCTTGCATACTTATTGTCGTTATTTTACTAATGTTCAATAATATGATATAAAGTAAGTATATTGTTTTTAGATAATAATTATTGTTATCTTTAGGTTGTAAACAGTTGACAAGAATCCACGAAATAAATGAATTTACCTTATTCTGCTACATTCTTTGTTCCTATTTTAGTCAAATTTTCAACATTTCTAAAATATATTTCCTTACCTTGCTAGTGCTTCTACGCATTCATTTACATTTTCACCAGTCAATGCACTTGTTTCAAAGAAAAGTGCTCCAATCTCCTGAAATTATTGTCAAAAATGTATAGATGATACATTATCGCTATTAAATTGTCAAGAATACTACAATAAATCTGTGTAACTTAATAGTAAACTATAATTCAAGAAACAAAAGTAGTTAATTTTCACAGATTGAAATCATGAGTCAGTTGAAGCTAGACCACCATTGAAAACCTGGAAGCACTGGACGGCCGTTTCGTCCTAGTATGGGACTCCTCAGCAGTGCGCATCCACGATCCCGCACCACGCGGGGCTCGGACCCAGGACCTACTGGCTTCGCGCGCGAGCACTTAACCATTAGACCACTGAGCCGGCATCCAACGGTGTTAATGTCTAACTTCAACCAATCCATGAAGTTGCGCCACCATATACCATTGTCTTCAGTGAGCTGATATCTCACAACAGACCTGGTTGTACTCCACTGGTAACGGCTTCCCACTAGAACTCCAGGAGTATCTCTTGAAGTCAGTCACTAGTGAGCAGATGATTACAATCTGTGAAAATTTCTAAAAATCTCCACAAACCCCTTCTGATAATAATCATCTGCTCACTAGTGACTGACTTCAAGAGATACTCCTGGAGTTCTAGTGGGAAGCCGTTACCAGTGGAGTACAACCAGGTCTGTTGTGAGATATCAGCTCACTGAAGACAATGGTATATGGTGGCGCAACTTCATGGATTGGTTGAAGTTAGACATTAACACCGTTGGATGCCGGCTCAGTGGTCTAATGGTTAAGTGCTCGCGCGCGAAGCCAGTAGGTCCTGGGTCCGAGCCCCGCGTGGTGCGGGATCGTGGATGCGCACTGCTGAGGAGTCCCATACTAGGACGAAACGGCCGTCCAGTGCTTCCAGGTTTTCAATGGTGGTCTAGCTTCAACTGACTCATGATTTCAATCTGTGAAAATTTCTAAAAATCTCCACAAACCCCTTCTGATAAAAGTAGTTAATGTCAAAATAATCATTGAAACTAAGCCTAGTTGTCCGAAGACTTCCCAGCACCTATCAGTTTGCACGAAAAGTGGATTTAGTTAACCAAAAAAATCAACCAACTAGGAATATATAAATCTTGATATTAATCTGGTCACTTGGCGTGTACTTGCTCATTTTCATCAATCAATGATTAATTTTTCAGGGTTGGTGATAAAATTTGTCTTCGAAATCTCTATTTTGAACGTGATTTTGATAAGCTTTGTAGCTAAATCATCCGCCAAGCTTATTTTTGAGACTAATTCATCTATGATTCATAATCAATGACCTCAGCTACATGAAAGCACTTAGTAAAAACTCATACAGCTTTCCACTCTTAAGTAATGGGGGTTTGGTCTGATCCAATTTTTTTCCAAAGTTCCACAGTAATTTATCACTGTATTGGTATTTTTTATACTTTTCAAATCATAACTTTTATACCACCATCAGGATAGTCATTTTAACGTTGACTGAATGAAAATATTTATCCTAGTTAAAACAGTTTGATGAAAACTATACTACTAGATGCTAGATTCTAGATTACCCAGATACTTCATTATGACCTCCTTTTCGATACGTTGAAATCTATTGATTGGTCTAAACTAACACGCTTTTTGAATTTTTGTATACCTCTGTTAAGTCATTTATATTGATGCGGGATAAGTGAATACTTGTAAGCTGTATATATGTAGCCCATTAGGTAAAACTTATTAGTTTTGTTGAAAGCAGAAACATCAAAATACTTGGATAATGATAATTTAAAATTAGGACATTTGTGAAGTGCAAAGGTATGTTAAAGAGCCCATCAGTGACTTTCACAATCAACTAATATTATGAAAGATTATAAATGAAAATAGCTGAAATAAAAAATTGAGTACGCTTATTTCATTTTGTTACATTCTAGTCAGCAACTACTTACAGTTGATAATCTCAATTTTCTTCTATGAATGAAATTTGTTACAATATTTACCTGGTTT